TAACGGTTCCTAAATTCTAATACGAGATTCTAAAAAGTAATCATTTCAGATTGTTAGCAACTGTACTTGTATATTAGTTTACACCCAGAAAAACAGAGTGAACGTTTCATCCAATACGTCCGTTTGCCCGGTTTTCACTCTCGTGTAGGTAAACTGGGAACCATTGACATTTTTTTCCGGAATAATACGTTCCGGATTATCGCGGTCCGAGAAATCGCGGTCCGGACTCTATCGTTCCGGGAAATTGTACACTCGGAATTTCGTCGGCCCCTCCCGTAATAGAATATATTCCCCAGTTATTTCCTACGGTTCGGGGTTAATACACACAGTGTAGGCATTATTCGATTTTCTCGCGAAACAAAAAGTCCGACGAGTTACGGGCATTTTATCTTTGCTCGAAAGTTTTATACGCGCATCACTCTCGGCGCAATACAATTACATATTATAATAAAGGCAGGTACCTACTACCGTTCCGAAACAATAATAATAAATAATATTCTCTCCCGTGTGATTTTCAGCCGGTTTATTTGTCACGTTTGTCATGATTTAATAATACGTATACCCTGTACATACACACATATATATATATATATATACACACACACATGTATACTAGTTTAGTCTATAATAAATTACAGGTGGGAGGGAAGTGGTGGCGGTGAACGGAGGTCACTGGAAGACGGTGGACGGACGAGAGTCTGATGCATATACACGCGGGGTATCGTTGTCGTTGCAATATACCGAGCGCACGTAGGTAGCTGATATTATTTATTATTCATTTTCAATTGAATAAATTACGAAATAATGCCGTATACTACACAATAATATACCGCCACTCGCGTATAATATACAGTATGATATTATAATGTAACCCCGTAGGTATGAGTACGGGCTACTGCAGCTATTATGCATAAATTATTTTCACGTGACGTTTCTCGCGTTTCCACGTGTTGAAATTTAAAATTCTTACGCCGACGGACGGACACCCACGCCGCCGGGTCGCGCGGTCCTAACGTGCTGTTTAATAATAAACAATTCGGCCGCGGCGACGGCTTATAGAGCGGCTGCAGTAAGTTTCGACCGGCGCGCCGCGATGCGAACTCGGAAATCGCGAAAAAAATTAATTCCGAGTCGTTTTAGATTGATTTAATCGCGTAAGTACGCCGCCGCGATAAGACGCTGGGCGTACGTTTCTTCGATCGCGAGCTTGCGATTCGAGAGACACAGTGAAGTATACCCACAGTTATAACACTAGTGTAGTTCGTTGTGTTTCTACACAATAACGGCGAAAGGATATCAATTCGATGTTCCCGGGGACGAGACCTCGCAGCGGACTGAAATCGTATGTTTTTTTCCCCCGGCCGATTCGTTTTAACATCTCGCCAAATCGAATACAAACGACCCGTGTTTTCGTATATAGAGATATATTAACGCCGCCTGTAGGTGACGTTTTACGGGATTCGGTGAAAAATCGATATTACGGAAAGATCGAATTAATCGATAAACTCGATGTTCCACGGTCTACTGCTGCGTAAAAATTGAACGGTAGCATTGTGTCTTTAATAGACGTTTACGTTCGCACAGTCGGAAATAAAAGAAGACGAACAAAAATCACCCTAAAACTTTACACATTTTAAAGTCTTCTTTTGCGCGGAAACCTCAGCGTGCGAGTCCGACTCGCATTTGACCAGTTGTTGTTTTTAGATTCCGAGGGTAGCTAGGGTTTACTATATGATGTGTGTTTTTTTCTGACTGCAAAACCTTTTACGTCGGGTTTTGGCTATTTTTCCATTTGTTTGAAGGCCGTCGCGCAGGCGAAAAACATTTTCGGTTTGTTTTGTTTAGGACATTGAAATCCGAGTTCATTCTCGTTGGATATTCAATTCAATGATTATGCGACCAGTCAAACACTGTGTACGGGTAAAGGTAAATACGCACACAATGTACACCACACCACATACGTCATAATATAATATTATAATTCGAGCTTATAACCGAAATTACGATGCGCGCGAGCAGATATGATATAAATGTTATTGTACATGCAATATGCATACAATAATTAGCCATTCACGGCACATGGTATTAAAAGAGTGCACACCGCACTCGATACTCTACATTATAATATACTGGCGGCTAAACACTGAACTACACGGGAATACGCGTTTAAAATGCCTGTTGAATTGGCCGATTAACTGAATAAAATCCTGGGGATTTCGTTAGAAACGCGTCCTTCCTCTACCCCTATACACAATCGTACAACCCTTTTCATAGAGCCATTCCCGAAGCTTTTACACCCTAATTGGGGATTTGTACCGTTCGTACACACACGATTTACACTATTGTTATTATTATCATTATTTGTATTATTATTATTATTATAATTTCAGTTATTATTGTTGATTTATTTTTTTCCGCCGCAAAGAATGGATTTAAATACAATTTTTCTGGTAATCAACCCTTTACCGCTTTCGTATATCAATAAAAATTAATTCAATTTCCGCCGTTTTTCTGACGGATTTTAAATGAATTCGATTTTTTTTTCTAACAATATTTTAAGTTTGTATCCTTTCTCTTTATCCCTTTAATGAATATGGGCTTTTTATTTTCATACAACAACTTCCTTCCTCTTTTTATTAAACAAATAGAAAATAGAAAATGTCTATGCAAATATTTTAATATGTATTTTTACCGTTGGGCGTTTATGAGTTACAACACATTATATTATATCAGTTTACAACCCAAGGAGTTGATTAGGGTAATAAACGTGATCATTCATTTTTAGATGATAATCTTAAATTAAAACCGTTTCAGATTTATCCATAAAAATTAACCCCCTTCCCCCTGGTAAATTATCACTATATATTATGTACCCTTTGTAAACTTCCAGGGAGTAAAATTTCGCTACCTAGTGATTATTGACCACCTAAGTCTTAACATTTCCCACACCTTCTTTTCGGTTAATACGTCTGGAATCGATATTTTACTTGGATACCGGTGTGTAGAAATATAAAAGTATATAACAAAAAATTGCGTAATCGTAAATAAGTGCTAATCTAATCGTTTTTCGCTTAATTAACGGTTTTTGATAATCGTTAGAAACTTTTACGTACTAATACGTTTTGATTATACTTTATACGATTTCATTCTTTCAATTTTCATACTTTTTAAGGGGTTTCTAAAAAAAAAGAAAGGAAAACAAAATATGATGATACATCAGTTTTGAACAGCACATGCAGCTAAATAACGTAGAGATTAAGTAAGATTCGAGATGTTCATCAAACACCTCGAAAACCGATTTTCAAATATCAATTTCTGTACGGATGCTCACAATTACATATTTTATTCAGGAATTTCTTGGTTATCTAATGTTGTACAGAATAATTAACTATTTTAATCAGTTAAAAAAATTATTGGTTGTAATGATTAGGGACCTAAAAATGATAAAAATATTAATATTTACATATTTAAACGAGAATAAAAATTCGTGCTTTATATCTCGGAAATATTAACCGAAAGAAAATGGCGAATAGAGCAGAAAATATATAACATGCAATTGGATATAATATAATATGACGTTATTGCTCTTTGAATACATCCGTGTCATTTTGGGTACGAGATACCTAATTTTAAAATCTGCTTGATGTGTCATATTACGGTTTCTGTACAAAATTTCAGTACGGAATGAAATATTTAAAGGAACTTTTGTACAGTATTTGACTAAATATTCCATGTAAAGCTACGTTAACGATTTCATTATTTAACATTTTGATTTTCTACCAGAAATTTCGCACCGAAATTTAAGAGTAAGTTATTTTGTTAAGTTTGTGAGCAAGTAGGTATTTTATTGATTTTCAGTGTAGTTTTCTCAATAATTGGTGTAAACTGCTACAATAAAGTTTTTTTTCGATAACCGTTTTAATTTTTAAAATCAATGAATATCGTAAAAATTACATTGTGCATTATTTTTCAGCCTACAATTAGGCTGTCGAAAAATGTGCATTTTCTCTAATAGAATGACGTTTTCTGGCGACACCACCATTTTACATCTCGCCATAATTTAGTATAATGGTATGATTTGTTTTGGTTAGTGAAAACGACTCGTAAAATGACATCAATTCGATATTAATATTTCTATATTCACATATATTATTATTATTATTATTTATTCTGAAGTTTTCATTAGGTATATACATATACGTATATATAGCTGTATGCATATTAACGTTTCCACTGTAAAGTTTATATCGTAATTTTATTATGTTAAATTAAATATGCATCGAAGTCTTTAGTGAAGTTTAAAGTAAACACGATTCTATAATATTCTTACGGATTAAAATGTTGCAGAGAAAATCTCATAACCAAAAGGTACGTACTTACCGTCGGTTTTTTAAATATATATATATATACCACTTAAACCCGAAACATTTATATTGCACGTTATCGTGAATAATTATTTATTTTTTTATTTCAAAAAGAAATGTGTGCCAATCTATTTTACTCTATCCGATAATACGTAATAATATTATTGCGGAATCATTTCCGATAAAATATCCAAATTGTTTCACTGTCGAGTTTTATACTGTGTTTAGTACCTACATATTATAGTGGGTATACATTGTATTAGGTATCCGTAATGAAATTCGATAGTTTTAAATTATTTACAAATAGTTAAATATTTTAAATTAAAATGTATATTTAAAGAAATGTACGAATAATGTTTAAATAAAAATCTACTACCTGCGTTGTACTTAGAATTTAATTAAAATTGGATATTTATAATTCAGAATTTTAATACTTAAATATAATACACTATATAATTTACATTTAAAATAATGGAAAATATACTAAACAATGCGTTTTAAATATCGTAAAATGTATTTTTAATGTACATAAAAAAAAAAAAAAAAAACTATCAACTCACAAGCCTGCAAATAAAATACTTTAAATTAATATACACGGAAATAATCTATACGATAAGGACATCGAAAAATCGTTTGTTTTATCGTAATTTACATAAAAGAAAAAAGTTTGTTTGATCGCCACGTATTTCCTTGTTTTTCACGTTCGAAATGTTTTTTTTTTTATTTTCATTTTAAAAAGATAACGAAAAAGTATATTTTAAAATTAATATCAGCGCTTCGTATTATTAAATGACGACGGAAATCTATAATATTGTACAAGTTGACAATAAATAAGGGAAAAATGTTCAGAAAATGCTAATATACTAAAAAGACTTAAAATCCGTGAACGTTCAAATAGAGGCATAATTAACATTTCATAATTGAATACTTTAATGTACAATAGTTATAGATTTGAACTAGTAAGAACAACAAAAAAATGTACTCAGTGTAAATTAACCAAGTTTTAACGAACACTTTAAACGTCCATGCAATATTTGTTATCACAAAAATTGACATTATAGTAAAGGTTGTTGTAATATTTTTTTTATGTTTTGTGAACTTTTTGGTGCCAGCTTCACGTGCCTATCTAACATTTTGTTAAGTACTACCCTAACCTCAAATGTAAGTTCATAATTACATAAACGCGTAACTGTAATTTTTTTTTTAAATATTCACCCATTTTTCACATCACAACAAAAATCTTCGGGAAAAGGGTTTAGATTATTAAGTTTCGATGCGTTTTCGTTCGGAGTATATTTAGACAATAGGATTTCAGTAAATTATACAAGAACATTATTTTGGTTAAAACGATCTTCTATATATGCCCTATAATATAGTCAGTGCCGTAACTAGAGGTTAGCGAAATGGGCGGTTGCCAAGGGCGCGGTGAAGTAAGGGGCTGTATTTGAGTTAAATTATTATAACTCATTAACTATAATGGCCCAATAATTTAAAAATATAACAGTATTTCGATTAACACGTAAGAACGTATGATAATAATATTATGAAATGTATACATATAAAATAAAGCAAAAATAAGCGCCAAAATAAAATTCACCCAACGCGCAATGGAGGGTAGTTACGGCACTGTGTATAGTATTCTTTCGGCGAGTTTCAATCATAATTTTCCCTGTGATATTGGTGTTTAATAACGCGTGGACATAAAATGTCTGAATATAAATAGAGTTGTTTTTTTTTTTTTTAATGTATTAGTCTCTTGAAAAATAGACGAAAACGATTCTATGTAGCTATTTTTTAAATGTTTTAGTTTATTTATAATATCATCAGCGTAGTTCATAGCAGATGTTCACGTGCCGGATTTTGTAGCTAACGTAGATAACGGAAGCGTGTGTTTAAAATATTATGTTCGCAAACTAACATCGAAAAAATAAAACTAATTTTTTCCACTGAAGTTAAAAGTGAAGAAGCACTGGGAAATACTGAGCATCTTTTTGAATGCCTTGAAGGCTGATGATGATTGGTTTAAAAAGGTAAAAAGACATACTAACAACACCAGGGCGTTCTATGAAACGCGTTTCACGCAGCCCTACAAAACGAGTTATTTTCAATTCAGAAACATGTTTAAACCATTGTTTCTAAATAAATTGATAACATCTTTCGTCAATTTCTCATGCTCAAGACAGGCAAAGCTGACGAGAGTGATTAATTTATTCTACGTACCGCGCAATGTCTAAACGTCGATTTTGGATATTTTTACGTATTATAGACTGAATCATATTGAACTATCAACTAAAATTGCTAATATTTTTGTCGAATGATAACGCAAATACGATAAGCAAAATCCGATAACGAGTACAATTGTTTACAGTACAAGTCTATCAGAAATTCTTAGGTCGCATGCGAGCATCCGCGTATATTGTTAGATAGTTATACGACGTTGAGGAATGCATGGTCTTAGAAAATGAAGCCTCTGATTTAGAGATAATAGAGATTATGAAGGATTACGATTTTATATACAGAGATATGGAAAATTGTCGGGTTGGGGAGGTCAAGACACCTCGGATATCCCCTCCTGAATACATGCCCGTTTCAATCGGTTGTATTTCATATCGAAATGATTCGAATGAACGGTACATATTTTTGCACCGGCTAATCGAGTGATTCCGTTTATTAAAATTACACCATAAATACCCGGTAAAACCGCGAAAATTTACCCGCGCAATATTTTATCTCTCTAGTACTTTCCCGAGACATTGTGCCCTCTTTGTAAACCGTCAGGGGTAAAATATCGTGGGGATCAATAATCGCTGGCACACCGGCACTTTTATTAACTTTTTTTTTCTAGGTCAATTGTTTGTCCGGTGTCATTTTGTTTTGTTTATTTTTTTACTATTATTAACAATTTTTTTTTTTGGATGTCGTCCATAACGTGTTTAGAATACGACCCCGACCTTAAAACCAGCGGGTGGACCGCATCACAGAGGCCCCCGGACGCTTAACTCGCAGGTAGGGATAGGGGGAGGGACTGAAGATTTTGTATTGTTAGCGCGGCCAAGTCCTCGCTAATTATGAAATAATGCCAGGGACGTCGCGGCGGTGGTTAATTTAATCAAATCCGGGTCGGCAGCACCGCCGCGGTAACCGTGCAGTAATAAAAGTCGTGCGTTGTTCTGGGATTTTTTTTAAATTTTTTTTCTACCGGAATAATAACATAATATATACGTATTATACGCACTTTGTATGTATATTTTTTTCCCACAAACGCGTACTTACGTACACATGTACAACGTGTATTTTACGAGTGGGTACCTATGTGCGCTTTCGTTGTTTTTTTTTTTTTTTCACATTATTTCGCCCAAAGACATCGCGTAATATGTTCTCTATATCCTCTTAAACCGATACAGCATCCAGCGGTGGCTGCTAATTATAACAAATTGGTTCGCAGTCTTCAGAGGGGTCCCGCCCAGCGCACCCCGCGACACGCGCTGTGCCGCTACGGCCGCGGTATTAAAAGGCGGTTAATTAATATTATGTTTCAACGTGTACGTTTCGCGGTCCGTTGTATTACACACACACGCACATACACACACACACACACACACACGGTGACATGGAGCCGTTAAAATAATATTTATGGGTACCGAGAAACCCATGAATATTATTTATAGATTAGATGGTTTGGACGAAGCGTAAGTATAGGTAGGTAGGTATAAATATACGAATAGGTATAATATACAATGAAGTCCCCGGCACCTTTCAATGGGAAGCGACGCAGTAAATAATAATCGCGGTTCGCGAATAAACTGTACAGAATCTTCAAATGAGAATTCAAAAGCCAAATGCAAAAAAAGCTAATTTTTACTCAATAAATCAAGCGTTTTCCCCTATTAATGTGATTTGGTTAAAAAATATAATTTCAATGTTTTTCAGCCAATAATGGAGGGGTACACAACCTCGGCTTATCTGCCCTCCCCTAGGCATGCCACTGCGATGACAGTACACCCGACTCTAAATTATTATTTCCTTTTGCCAAAAATATTTCGAACGTTTTCGTACCTACGTAATGTCATCGTTTCACCGATCAATAATAATTATTAGGTACTATTTTAATGCGGCATCGACAATAATTGAATTCTTCAAATTTTAAAAATTCTCCTACAATATGGAATTCGTGTACCTAAAACTTTATTATTATTGTACTACAAGAGTGTCGAAAACAATTGAGAATCAAATTTATGAATCATAATACCATAGAATAATGTACCTAGAGTTTGGTTTTTAATTAAAACTTATTCTCCAAATACGTAATGTATAGAAATATTGATCCGAATGTTTTGTCGTGAACCAAAAATTGATTGGAAATTATTAATGCTTTATACCCATATATTTTGATGTTAACAGAAATATTATCTGTACCTACCACATTTCAAAGTTTATGTCGACAAAATCGAATAATCTTTTATAATTATTCTCGGGCATAGGTATTGAACATTGTGCCTCAAGTGAATTTATTGTTTGCCGAAAGTGATAAATTGGAAACTGAAAATAAAAACGAATGTCAAAGTTAACGCAGTCGCAACTTAGAAGCAAAGAAATGAGTAAGAAGCCAAATCATAATAACGATAAAGATAATATATACCTATATTTTTAGCAAAGTACTATAATTGAATAATAACACTGAAACTACACTTTACTATACAGAGTCTATATAATCGTATCGTTTAAATTTCCACTACTAAAAACAAAATTGTTGGATATGTGATATTCCAGACAACCTGCTCATGATGTGTCATAGGTAATACAAAAAGATTGAAGAATTTTACATTTTACATTTTTAGACTCTGAGCGGAGCGAGGAATGTATTGGTTTTACAATGATGTTTTTTATTTTTGTGAACAACTTTTTACCAGAAATTTTGCTCCGATTTTCAATTGTAGCACAATTTCCGAAAGTAAATCCGATTGGGGTGTTACTTTAAGAGTACCAATTTTTTGATTTTCCCAGAGGTTTTCAAAATAAGTGGAAAAATGTAAAAATGTACGAAATGTACTCATATTATTTTCAAATCATAAATATTACGGCCTTTTAAAACACGTGTAACCGAACTCCGCTCAGAATCGTTTTTCGTTAGCAATAGTTGCGTTGAGATGTACATTATATTTTCCCTCTGCCTTCCAACTTCTCACCTAAAACAGTGGTTCATCTATCGTGCAAAGTATGTTCGTATATTTTGATAGTTGAATTTGTTCTAATAGATTTTATTCGCTAACGCGCATAGATAAATATTACCCCTTTAAATATTACATCGATCCCGTGTGACAGCCGAAAATTAAAACGCTAGTTTTTAACGTTATGTAAAAAGTTGGTAAAGTTGGTAAGTTCACGACTGTGACGGTGTTTTTTTTCTAAATTCTCGCATTAAGCGTGTAGAAAATTTACTTGAATTTTTTAATCTATCATTTGGCATCTACAGTGTTTGTAGTCCCTCATCGACTGCAATCATTATAATATTTTGTACACACATTTCATCATTAATGGTATAAATGCCATTGCTTCATGACGGGCATCATGACTGGGCTGCTATGACACTGTATATATTATACACACACACCAACTCAAACTAATTGCCCGGAGCACTGCGGAGGCTTACCTATACACACATACATATATGATATTATAATATGTTTGTGTAAACACATCAACCACTAAATGCTAAGTGAATGTGACGGTTCGTTTAAAACGAGATGATAGGCATACCGTATACACCTAATACGCATTTATATACGAGTGCGTTTGGTATTTGGAGGCTGGAGGAGAATCACACGTTTCCATCGTATAATTAATTGGATAAAATATTAGCTATTCGTATAATAAGAGCACCATATCACTTGAAGTAGGTACCTAGACGCGTCACGAGGTCCGCGAGTCCCGCAGTGGCTATCACAAAACGGTATTAAGCACTTGATGTACACCCTTGTAGACCCTTATAGACAAGAGCTACATCGTCCGCACAGTAATTAATTAAGGGACGTTAAAATTGTTATTTATATAACGTGATACTATACCTACTCGGTGAGTTGGGCGTAATTTATTTGGGCGAGAAATTAACCGATGACTAAGCGAATATTCAGCAAACCTTCTAACATGTTGACCTTTGTAAATTCCAAACTATTTGTTGAGATAATATTTGTATTGTTCTATTAAAGGACATGTTTAGAGAGTGAATGTAAAAATAAATACCCGTGACAGGGCCGTATTTAAGCGCAAGGTTGTAGCCTATGGACCAGCACCAAAAAAAAAAAATAACTAAAAAGGTTAGTCGGGATTAAACATGTCTCGCAAAACTATATGTAGGTTTACATTTAGGACATTATTCTCCATGTGATATTCTTAAGTTAGATATTTTGGTTAAGTAGGTGGCTATTTCCCTCTGAAGTCACGCAGAGGCACTTGATTGGTGAACGAGGCCAGCAGCTACAGTGAGTTGTTCCATGCACCTGAATTTTGAACGCGCATTAGATACAAAGTCACAAAGATATGCTCATTAAACTAATAATTGACAAGGTGTATTTTTGAATATAATCGTGAATTTTCCACCACTTAAAATGTGTTTATATATCTTTTTTACAAAATAATTACTAATCGAACACTACAATACAATGAAAATAAAGTATCTATTCTAAAGATTGCAGGGATAACAACTACATTTGAATATAAATACTTTTGTGTTAAATCCAGTTGAGTTCTTGGAGATGTTACCGTTAATTTCATACTTAAATTTATTAATATCGTCATTAGAGCGAAGATATTCTGGTGTAAACATATCTACTGATTTTTTACTTTCTTTAACTTTAAGAATTTTATACATCCTACAAAAATATTAAATAGATGATCATCAAAATTGTTGTTTACGTTTATCCTTTTAAACCCGAATTTATTTCAAGTGACAATTTACATATTTGATACTAAATGTTTGAATTAAAATCGAAGTTATCGTAGGTACACTTAATATTATTTTTTTACCTTCATAACCGTTTAGTTTAAAGTGGGTTTTAACGGTAACTTATGTATAGGCTTTACCTTCGGCTTTGTCACAGAATAATATTATATTATGAAAAATTACTAATATAAACATTTTGTTGTTTAAATATCGAATATCGTCTATATATAGTTCACTATTTACACTAACATTTTAGGTTTTTGATACGAGATGTGGAATAAACCGGGAAATCGTTTTTAATATCTTTGTGCTCTGAAACTTCAAATGATAATATAAATAACAAAACGTTAGTAGTACACAATATACATATTGTGGTGTCATTTGATTTTCAAAAATTGCTCTCCGTCAGAAAATGAGAGGTGGGAAACCGTTTGAACGAAGTTTAAAAACTAAAAATACGTTTTTCTGAAAAACCAACGGAAAAACGAAACTCATCCCGTTTAAATTCGTAAATACTGCAGACAACAATATGAGATAATGTTGTAACAATGATATTAGATGAATTTTGAAAAAAAAAAATAATAATAATCGGACACCGCATAATAATAATAATAATAATAGCTTTAAGAAACGATGGTTGGCTAAGGAAAGGAGTGTAAGGTGGCGATAGAAGAAGGATGGTCTCAAATAGCCAAGATAACGAATATAATATGATAAAAAAAAAAAAAAATAAAAATAAAATAAAATAAACGAAGAAGATTCTTTACTCGAGAGAGGACACAATTTCACGGGACTGCGATGTCGTTTTCGGAATACAAATGTGAATCTTATCACTGCTCGTTCCGAAGGTATACTCGTAGTGATCAATCTAATACCGGTAACTCCCATAGATATATTTCTTTAGATTTATAAACTTATTCGCGTATATACGCGTGCTCAATACATAAATATACGTATAGATTAATATGAATGAATATTATATTTTTAAATATCATAAATGATTTCGGTTATAAACGTGTTTTGTTTTAGATAAACCGACCAATTAGTTGTAAAGGAGTTCGGTGGTCTACCCGGAGGTAGCTAAGGTACCTCATGCCGTCCGTTGGCCGTGTAAGCGCAAAAAAACGATGTAAACTATTTAGCAGTGAAACTAGCAATTTTATTAAAATTATGATTTAATTACTGATTTAATAATTTCTAATGATCATTGCACACAGGGGTGTATTGATCCTATAGTTTATTATTCCAGAAAACAGCGGGTCACTTCTAGCATTAAGTATTACTTAGGTTGTGGGCCGCTTGTTCCAGTGATTATGCTTTAAATGTTTTATTTGTATTAATAACATGTTTTTTTTATGAGTTTTCGCCCAAAAAATTTGTTCCGGTCATCATTTTCAGTTGTGGTTTCTGATAGAAAATGTTGTTTAGTTAGTGTATTGAAACGGCAATTTTTTCATTGTTTTTTTTTTTAACAATGGGTGTATTCATGGGAAAATTACTATTTTTACTATCGATGTGGTATTTTTCATTGTAATTAAAAATTGTTACTGTAAAAATAATCATAGAGATTTGACATTTTTACTAAATACTAATATACCTATATTAGTAATTTCAAGATATAGTAAAATATTCTAGGATTTTCGTGTTATTTATAACTGTTTAAAATATTCGCAATTTATTTGGTTATGTGTGGATTCAATTTGTGGGTTCATGTAAATTCAAAAAAATTTTAAACCAGATTCATTTAAAGTTTTACTCAATAGTAAAACCAAATGGCGTGTGTTATGACGTAATTTATTTGTAAGTACATGCATTTTAAGTTCAATATTATAAATAAATTTATAGAAAAAAATACGGACAATTGTCATTTATATTGTAACTACATAATATTAATAAAACAAAATCAGGTATCAACCTAACTTGGACCGTTATAGTCTTTGGGACAATAAACTGGATCTTATCCAGTCTACTTCATTGATTGAACGTTAGCACTAATTACTCAACTAAGTACAAATAATTGTAGTAAGTAAATTTGCATTTATTAAAATAATCTCAAGAAAAATGGTTTTTACAATAAATGTAAATATATTTTGCTCGAATTATTATTGTGTATAAATGCAATTTAATATATGACGCCCTCTTCCGAATTCGCCACGGAAGGGGCTCAAAATCGTAGTAAACTCAAATTTATTTATTCCACGGGGAAAAAAAACCTTTTACCTAATTATAAAATATATTACCTTCCGTTACTCGGTCCAACGTTCGGTACATTATAAGATGAACTAGCCGTGATCGCAGAATCCGGAATAGCGCCGGACTCCATACCGAGTGCTTCATCGCATTCTTCTGTAAAAAAAAGAATTAAGTTAAAATAAATAACAATTGTGTACGTTTAAAATATATAGTTTAAAGATTTATAATTATTAACATAGCGAAATATTTCATGTATAAACATAAAAAATAAAAAAAACACACTACATGCAACTTCTGTTGCACATGTAAGGAAAACAATCTGAAAAAACTTTTAAATTAGTAAACATTGTGAATAACTTGCGCGCGTTCTGGTAACGGTCCGACCCAAAAGACACAAGTTTGCTGGAATAATGTTCGTCAAAACTTTTGACAACCCCGTGACTCTGACGACAGTGAGTAAATAAGTATATACGAACTGAATTTTACAAATTTAATATAAAATAACAATTCTTATCTTGTGAACGTCGAATGATAGAAAATGTCGTTGGCTGATGTTTATCATGTTTCATATTTATTATTCAAACATAATCTTTTTATTTCCATCATATTATTTTTTGACAAATTGCAGATAATCATAATTCATGATTAGTTTACTAATTATTGAATATTAAAAATATACAATTTTATTGTGTTGAAATTATCTTTTTTTTTTTTTTTTTTTATATATTTTTAATTACTATTTATATATTACAAGAGTTTTCAAATTTAAGTTTGGATCTGAAACGAAAATCAAAACCGTCTCTTTCAATAAATGTGGATTTGTTATCCGAATACAATGATTGGACTTTACCCATAAAACTGAAGATATTAATTTCAGATGCATTAAAAGATTAACAACATTACTTCAACCCTATAATAATTCGAAATTAAACATGAGTAAAACGAATGGCATAATAATATGTTTTAATTATTGCGCTTAGTTCGTTAGACTAGTTAGGATTTTTGTTTGAATTCGTCTCCATTGATGTAGTATATTTAATAGTGTAAGAGAAACTTTGATTAGAACGAAAATGTTTGATATATTACTATGTCGTTGGAATTACAGCTTTGAAAAGTTGTGTGCACTAAGAACGTCATCAAATACATCAAGGTAAACATCTAGAAGACACCGCGAAGAGTTTCGTCTGAAATCGTCTAAGGTATGCCACTCGGCACTCGACTATACGGTCCCGAGTGAAAATACTTCGAAATCTTGTAAAGTCCCAAACGTAATGATCCTCTTTGTGTTGGTAATTTCAAGGGGAAAAACAAGTCTTCATTTTCGCCGCTAGTTATTCGCTATTGTCCTTCACCGCTGGTCCTTTATATATTATAAGACCGAATAAATTAAACTTCACGTTTCTTCAGAGTTCACTGATCATTTTTTTTTTTATCATGGGTAAAACCTATTATAATTTCTATTGTTTTTTAATTACCCCGTCTTGGCATAAACTTTTTAAATCCTTTTTAAATTCAACGTGGAATTATTAATAAGACCGTTGTGGCGGAGTAGTCTTTTTTTTATTTTTGAAAACATTTACCTTTCTTTGAGTTTGGAATTGTGTAGTAGTAGGGTTGAATATAAATTGTATTAAATTGATATGGTCAGGTATGCGATATTGTACAATTTCGTTTTTAAAACAACAAAATGAAATACAGTATAAATACACGTTTATTGTATTTATTTGGGAGGAAAAAATATAAGTGCTGTTTATCGAGTGTTTAGTATTAAATTTACTCAAAGAAAAATCGAAATATCAGAATGATATTGTATACCTATGAATGTACTTAACAAAATTGGATTATAATTCTGTGCAGAGTTTTAGATTCTAAGAAAAAGCTATTAGTTTTATGATCGTATCATGCTGTATGTTTTTTTCTCTTGGAAAATCCTTTTTCAGTTAGTATAAATGCTCCGATTTTTCACGGCATACATTTACTTTAAAAGATGTGGACTTTTCGCCTGACGATACTTTATCGGAAACATTTTCTTCAGAAATTCCTAATACTTAAATACTTATACCACCAAAGAGGTGAATTTTATTTTTATTTTTTTTTGGTTAGAAAATACTTTAGTTTTTTCGCACACAATAGATTTTTAATTGAAACATATATCGCAATAGTTAACCTAATGGGTCCTTTTTTTAAAAATATTTTTGTTGACTTCTGAGTTCTCATGGAAATAATGGAAAAAACACGATAATTCTTTTCCACTCAGGATCATTTTTCGTTGGCAACGATTTATCGTTTCATAATGCAATATATATCCTTTACTTTCTCAATTATCCATCTGCAATAGTGGATTATCCCCAAGCAGTATCAAAGTTTGTTTATTTAGGTTAATAATATACATTTTAATACAGTTTTAAATAACATTTTTTGACGGCTTCATTGCATTACGACGTACTTTAATAACATTTTCAAATATAAAATACGGCGCATCTGGGACTCATAATTTTAATGTCGCCCAATCGATCGTTCTTAAAGAGTGCCGAAAGCGACACTAGGTCATACAATGCAATTTACGGTATAAGTACTATACTAGGTGTTTTTTTTTCTGTTTGATCCTGGTTCGGGAAGTGACCATTAATTTTGTCTTCGCGGGGTTGTGATTTATTCAAATAACTAAAACCTCAGTTTAAGTAACCATATAAAAATAATTGGATATATACTTTTTCAATACGACCAGATCAATTACACTAATAAAACAATTAATAATATTTATAAATCGAGAAACCGATATAATATTGCGCATATTTTACACGCACGGTTAAACAACTAGCCATATGATACGGATAGTTATGACTGAATTCAGTTGTGAACTGCGCATGTATTATTGAAATGTCACGGAAAGAAAATTCAGCCGGCTGTGATTTTTTCGCCTGCTTTCCTTCCTAAATGCCAGGTGTATACCAGTGATAACTAATAAAATCTCTGTCACTGGTGACAAAGACATCCGCGTAATATCATAAAGTTACCACTATGACTAGAGACATCGATATTTCCGATACTTATTAATATCGACTATAAAATTGCGGTTTCGATATTTGATTACGTTTAAATTATAATAAGCGATGACGTGAAAGCCACGTCTGCGGTTAAAAAATAATTCAGCAGGTTTTTGCGTTTGAATTTTAAATAATAGTTTTTTAACCAAGCTAATAGATGCTTATTCGTTACGCAATATGATATTATTTAAATAATATTAACGGTTAGAACATTATAACGTTTTGTGTTTCGTATTTATTTTTAAACGAATAGACGTCGATAATCGAGTATTGGTATTGAATGTCGAATTCTGAAACACGTTCTGTATCGCCCGACTCCAGTTGCCGCCAATATACCTGCATGGAAATATTATTTAGCCGCGCGCTGCACAACACGTGTTCAAAACTGAAATCAACATCGATATAATGCTGGTTCGAAGTGATTATACACACGGCAAAATTTACGATCGCGCACGACCATACGCATATATACGAGGTCAGAAAGGGGGGAGGACGGAGGAATATATAATACTCATATACACGACTAACAGTTTTCTATAGTCATATCATATCGTGTATAATAATAATAATAACAATAATAATCTAACGTGGATATATTATAGGGAAATAGTTGTATATTTTATAGTGTACGCCTTGCGTGCCGTTTTCTTGCATTGCATGTCACAGACCTACTCTCGTTTGGAGCCCCACTGCAGGTATACCCTACCTATCCCCCTATAACTATACCCTCCAAATCACGTCACGCCGCGCCGCGGGAGGAATAGAGAAAAACTCGTAAAATTATACGATTCGTAAAAAAAACAGAAATGTAGTTGGTACTACAGCAGCGTATACGTATGTAGGTAGGTAATGTTGTACGAGTGTGTCTGTGTGTGATTTACAACGGTGACGGAGGAAACGGCACGGCATTTTTTTATTATTATTTTTTTTTTTTTTTTCCCCCATTAAACGGAAAACATATCTAGGAAAGTACACGATATTTTATGAAACCGATAAGGTACGTTTTTCTTTTACGAAACGATTTCCCGAAGAAAATAATAATATAATAACATCGCCGCAGCAGCAATACGGTTGTTTTTTTTCGATTTCTCATCAAACATTATAATATTTCACCGATGCAACGCACGTTTTAGCGGCCTATACGCCCGTGTTCGTATTACGCAATCATTGAAAACGCTTCGTACACACGATAGTTGGAGGTATAGCACTTAGATATCTATAAACCGTCAGGATTTATGGTATTATTATGATTTCGGAAATGGGCTGGTGGTGTAATAGTAGTAATAGCCATCGGGACGTCACATACGGACACAATAAATTATAGTGGTTTAAGATTTAGGCGACGAAAATAAATAATCACATTTTATAGGTATAAAGTCAGTGATACGGGTAAAGGAGGGAAGAGGTTAGGGGTTCTTATATCCTTCTGATTCCTCATCGATTACCAAAAACAACAGTGATGAGTATTTTTATTTAATCATTTTATGCTGATATTACATATTTCAGCCGTGTGTCAAGGAAAAAAAGTTATTTCAGTACACTTAGACCTAAAAGTTGGACAACACTGTAAGAATTGTGTTTAATGAAAATAGATAAGATTTCTGTTGGAAAATTCAATAAAAAAAAAAAAAAAAACAGGAAAACAAATTTAAAAAATCACATATTATCACAGTAAAACCAATACGTTCCTTACTGCGTTCATAACCTAAGATACTTATCCAAAATTTATATAATATTATGAATTCGACCTCAATATTTACGGTTTTGATAGTCATTTCGTGTTTTAAACACGAACTTTTCGTGTAATTCATGGGATTAAAGGGAGAGCGTTTAGTGGAGCGTCGTTTGGGTACAGTGCTTGGTGTTTTAATAATGTTTAGCTACTCTTCTCCTACCAAAACTTAAAAGTGGAATATTTTAAAAAATAAATAGCAATACCAAATTGTATTGAAACCAATAATCCATCTATTTATGGAATTTTTAATGTAGCTTGATATTTAAAAAACTAAAAGTAGGTAGTCGATTCACCTCCAAAAATAAGAATTTAGAATTTATGATTATAAAAATTGTTTTTTTTTATCAAAAATTTGATCTAAGCATGAAATTTAAAAGACCGCAGTTTTATAATAAAAAAAGCTTTTACTACAGTTTTATGCCGAAACGGTTTAGAAATAAATCCACATTCAGGAATCGCTTGAATGTTTACAATTAAATCGATTCGGGTACCGGCCACGCGGTTGTTTATTTTAAATTTTATTGCGTAATAATGTATAGTCACGGTGTACCTATTCATATTTTGTATTATAGGTTAGGTACCTACGTGTTATCGGGCAATAAATCCATTTGTACGTGATAACGGTACTTCAGGATATTATTTTCGTTTACGACTTAATAATGCGATTTCGTAAAATGTTTCAGGACAACACGACACGGTCGGATTAATTAGCATTTTATATATTTTTAATAGCCCGTACTCCTATCGCCGGCCGTTGTAGAGTATAATATTTAATTATGCACCATCGTCGGTTGACCTTTTAAAGTCGGCTTAAGACCTAGAAAATAACGTAGGACCTATCGAGGAAATTTGAATTGGAAGATAAAACATTGTAAGTGGTTTAATGATAATAGGTAACCTGTAATTTTTCCTGCTAACATTTTCAACTTTAATAATAATAATAATAAGATTAAATATATATTTTGGTTTAAGCGGTGGTTTGGAAATAAAATTATAACGTTTTGTAATAAAGGAACAGAGATTAGCAATTTTGGGGAGAAAAGTTCACTAAAAAATAAATTGGCCGATCGTTGACGTCCAAACAAATGAAAGCAAGAAATGACCGAGGCAACCAAGCAGAAAAAAAGAAATGGAAACATTGTTCAACAAAAACCGTATTGTTGAACGCGCAAGTGTTTGGAAATCAGTCTAAACTGGAAATAATCCAATTTCGTCAAGTATGTAACAAAAACATGAACATTTCCAAAGGGTACAGCAACAATGATTTGGTGGCTCTGTAATTTATAACGTAATAACCTACTATTATATCTTATAATGGCATATTATCTTTGATATTTATACCATACATATAAATAATGTCATTCTCGATTAATTTTATTAGGGGTGATGCTTGTTAGGGCGTATTAGGCTGAAAAACACTCCTTTTTCCGGAATATACGGTCGATAATTAAAAAAAGACATTTTATAAATCTTAGGGCTGGACTCAAACGTTACTGTAGGTCTCCCGTCACGTTCGAAGACTAGCGACCATGGCCGGGCTGATATGTTTATGTGGCATCGCCAATGCCGGTCATTTTATTATATTATTATTGCGGTGCGAAAAATTAAACACGAAATCGATACGACACCAATCTACCATCTATACGTTTAACGGACACAGTTTATAGACCGATAATATAATAATATTAACGTGCCAAATAAAACACAAAATGAAAATCGAACGCGCGGAGTTTAAACACAACAATATATACATTTATCAAGAGCCCCAAGGACAGTAAGGGGGTAAGGGAAAGAGGGGTGTAGGAGTGGCAGTCACCCGGGAACCCTTCACTGCAGAACTCCCATCGGACCGGCGGCGCAAAAATATCCGTAAAATAATAATAATTTATCATAATGTACGGTGGAAATAAACACGTGGGGTGGCGGCGGCGGCATGGGTGTGTATGGGGGGGGGAGCAGAAAGTATTGAAATCAAATGGACCGTTTCGACCGGGTGAAATGCCGTTTTTTGATCAAAAGTCATTGGCCATTTATTTTTAGTGCGTGTGTCGCCGCCGCCGGGATAGATAACAGCGTTGCCTGCACGCGTTTGCCGCCGGAAATTCTTGTCGGTACGGTAAAATGATGAAATTTTAGATTTTTTTTTTCAATGACAACGATGACGATGACAGAACAAGCGATACGATCGCGTTTTTTCGGCGAAGGAAACAATAATAATAAAAAAAAAAATCCCGATGGTTGTGCGAAAATGTCGCAGATAACGGGGGAGGTTTGAATGTTTATGTGCATGTCCCCCTTCCATAAGTGTATCTGTTACACGAACGTTACAAACTAGTTTGTTCATTTGGAATCAACGATCTTATATGCACAGAGCACCCGAGAAAAAAATTGGTATGGATGAAGAACATAATGTTTGGTACAACTCAAATAAGTAAAAAAAATAGGATACTGCTCATGTGCAGACTATACTGATGCGCGGGTGATAAGTATATCGCGGGAAAAGTATAGGATATAAATGGTGGTTTATTTAATATTCTCGTACCAGGGACCGGAACCATTTGATTTTACCAGTGCTTTTATGCTTCCGGTTCTTTTAAAAAATATTTATCGGTTCGATTTCGGTTCTGTTAAATAAAAATTCCAGTTCGGTTCCGGGTTTTCACTTTTTGTGAACAGAAATTCCGGTTCCAGAACCGTTTCTTTTCGTTTCGATTCTAGTCCCTGACCCGTATACTGTATATAACGTATAAATTAAGTAGTATGGCTCCCCCGTCATGAAGAAAAGTAAAATGAAAAACAAAAGTCCTCTTTAATGACACCGACTAGATGAGATCGCTACCAGACAAATTCACTGCCGATGTCAACAATCGAAAAAAGATTTCTGGATGCAAAAACAAGGCAGAAACAAAAAAAAAAAACACATACACATATAATAGTAAAACGAATATATTATGTACGTTATTGCCACCCGTTATTCGACTGTACCTATAAATTGTTTCGCAAAAAACCGCCTAAATACGTCAAAAAAGCACTTAACATTAATATTTATAAAAGTAAAAACGGTATAAAGGTTTTGAAATTCCCCCTTTACCGACTGTAACTTGTGAAATACCATTTTCCAACACTAGAAAAATGACTAACGCCGAGCCATTTTTTTAATAATTCAATTGTACGTGATAAGATGGTCCACACTGATAAAAATTTGCGTTGTGCGTCGAATGTAAAACTCACCACGAACATGTTGCAACGCAAATCTATGTTTCGGCTTAAAAAAAACCCGTGGACGACAGATCGTGTGTTCGGTATTGCGCCGAATACGTCTACACTCGCATAAATTATTTAACATACGAACGAAATTTCGCCAAATGTTTGACGTATATTTCTATTAACCCGACTTAATAAAAAAAAAAAATACTTTCTGTTAATCATTTTTGTAGGGTTTAAAAATAATTGTATTTAACCGGTCAAAGCCGTTATATGGGAGATTTTCAAAACTCTACAATTTTTACTATATTTGGGGCTTTTTTTTATGGAAAGTTATACGAATCGAGAAATTATTCATTGTCCAGGAAAATTATTATTTCTTAGAATATTCGAAAATGTTATTTGCGCGAAATGATAATTTCATGTTATTGTCATGACAATTATTATGTTTGGTGATTTTCAGTAATAGAACGCGTATAATGTACAATACGTCACAATGTTCGTATTTTATCGAAATGATATTTCCGATTGATTGTACATAACTGTGCACGATAAAATAAATACTACATGTTTCAAATCCAAACCTTATCCATACCGTGGGCGGCATAACGGTGGGGAGGGGGGAGGACTTTGAAAATTCAGTTCCGTGGCGTTTATCTTTCCGAAAACATTGTTATCGGTCGCGAGCAAATAGGTACTTTCCGGAAAAAACACGGTCTCGCGGGCCGATCTTCTCGTCCGAATTCGTGTTCCGTTTTAATTCTCGCTTGCGGATTCCAAGTGCCCGTCAACGTCCCGCCCCGTCTCCCTGTTATTGCGTTACCGATAAAGCATCCGGTCCGCCCGTCGCCGCGGCTACCTCGCGTTGATCACGGGCCGCGGTCGCGTTTCGCAATATTATCACTGTTATCGCTACTATCGTCATCGCCGCAAACGGCGGCGGACCACTGCGGTATACGTTACTGCTATCAGCGTCGCCGTCATTATTATTACCGCGACGCGGATCGTCGGGCACCGTGCGCGCCGCAACGACATAATCGCACCGCCGACGACGCGTATTACTGTACGCGGACCCGCCGCCACCGGTTCGCCGGCCCCGCGCGTATTGTAAACTGCGTTCCAATTTCCTTTATGAATAATTAATCCGGGACGTTCGCATTGCGCCCGCGACAGCGCGCGCGCGTGTCCGAACGCCCCGGAGCGCGCGGCCGGGCGACGACGGTAACGCGGTGTGCGTGGTGGTGGTTGGGGGGCGGAGGGAAGGGCAAAAGACGCGCGTGGAACGGAGACCCGTGATTTTCGGTCTTGTTGTTCTTTTGCGCGCCGGTGTCGTCGTGGCAATTTAAATTCAAATCCCGTCGACGTGTGGCTATATAATAATATATTTATGTGTGTGTGTGTGTATAGAGGGGCGGCGGATTCGTTCGCTCCCTCCCTCCTCCGTGTCTCTGCTGCCCGGTCCCGCGATATAATATAACCCCCTCTCCGCACATACGCACACACACACACACACGCACGCTCGCGCGCGCGCACCTCTATCCCACGGATATCGTCGTCCCGCCGTCGTCGGCGAAACTCTTTTCGCGGTTTTGATTCCGCGGCGTTGTATTATTATCATAATAACGGTCACGGTCGTATAACCGCCATAATCATCGTAATAATAATAATAATAATAATATTACAACAATGACGAGCGGAGTTTGCCGTATTATTCCTTTCTACCATCCCCTCGAGCTTATTTCCCCGAAAACCTACGGGACACACCGATCACCGCAGTAATAACGCTGTGACGACGCGCGGCATAGAAAAACGATTCGGAGTGGGACTTAGTTAAACACTTGGTTTTCTTTTTCTTTTGCTCAATTGGAATCGAACGTTTTCATAATTGCAATGTATTATAAATAAATTAATACATTTTTGACAGTAAAAACATCAAACGTTTATGTTATGTTATATAAAAAGGCCAATACTGCTGTTCCAGGAGGGATGATGAAAAATAGGGATGGCACAGTAGATTAATTTAATTTATATCTGTACGCAACGAAAAACCGTTGTTGACGAACAACGATTCTGAATAGAGTATTTATCAGTCGTACTTTTACCGTTTTTTTTTTCCAGTCGACTAAGTATTAAAAAAGCTACGAGGAAAAAAACGATCTCCTCAATGTATTGACTAGATACAATATACTACAAGAAAGTTCCTATAAAGTTTTTGGTTCGAGCAATTTTCGTGTTAGAAAAGTTTTTTAAAGGCACGGAAATAATATTAAAAAAAAAAAAAACATATCATAGGCCATATAAATAAACCAATACATGCCTCGCTTTGCTCAAAATCTAAAATTAAGAAAAAAACCGTGACGTTACGTAAAACAGCGTGAAAACCGACTAAAAAAAAAAAAAAAAACCGCAAGAGACAGAATGCACACGTGCGGACCGTGACAACATATAATATAATGATATACCAAATCATCGTTTTCGTTTGTTTTTCAATGCAGAATATCAACCGGCCCGCGGCTGCGATTAATCGATATTAATTGCCAAATATTTTATTCTCGTATAATCGATAACATGTTATTATAAATGATACGTTTACTTTTCGTACGACTCGCACGCACAACATTGTTTTTCGCCAATAGGCGAATTATTCGGCCGACCTACCCGGGTCAACTACGGTCGGTTATCAATGCGCAATAAATTGCACAACAATAATATTATTAGCGTACGTCACATTATTATTAATACATTTAAAGGGGCCGGCAAAGCGCGAATGACTGAATACTGTTTATATTGTTTTATCACATCGATCTGACGAATTACCCATACTCTTTCCGGTCTTTCGTGTATCTATACGTACGCGATAACGTTTAACTATTCTATACGTGTTCACGAAGCGTAAAAAACGCACGGGCGACACTACAAAGGTACAAATGTCGATTGCTATACTTTGATGATACAATATGTTTAATAAACGTTTACATTCAACGCGCGTACGGCATACGCGATACGAAACACGGCGCGCTGTGGCGCGTCTCTGCTGTTAGCTCGCGAAAATAATTTGCAGCGAGTGCGTCTAATTGAGAATATTTTTGGATTCCGAACGTAGCCAAGGAACTGTTGGTGTCACTAGGCTTGATTTATTTGTCATTTTTTACCGGAAAACAATCGTTAAGCGATAAAATACCTCTTTTGTTGCATTTTAAAATTTATCGGTTCGTAAGCACAGTCGTGTTTTGATTTTTCAGCCAGTATATTTTCCGTGTACCCGAGATATGTTATAATATTATCGAAAATGTTTATTTTTTTTTAAATATTATTCCTACGTTATATTTACGAATGAAACGACCCCGTTAGCTTTTTAACACTCCCCCTACTTGAAACAAATCACACACACAAACGGAACTTTCTGATAAGCTTATGATTGATAGGCTCTGTTGATTGCTTATCAAAAATTTAAAACATCGGTAACACGATACGATACTCTGTTAAGACGCGGTTTTACCGTCAATGCCTCAAATTTAATTGTGCTCCGAGGAAGTCAGTGTTCTCGGTAAAAATAGGACTGCTAAAGTATCGTCTGAATCACTGAATAATTGACGCTCCGATATGTTTTAGTGACGCGTATTATAATAATATTTTGTTGGATGGAAATATCTCGGAAAACGGAATATTAAATCGAAATTTTTCTTAAATATTAAAAATGATTTTGTTATAACTCAAAAACCGGTGTTGTTTTTTTTTTATCGCGTACAAAACCGTCCTTGAAACATTTATTTCTACTGTTCGTGCGAATCTGTCCTATAATAGTGATAATTTTTAAGCATTTTCCCCCACCCTCCCTTATTTATTTTACCTATACGCACTGTAATTGGATTTATTTTAAAATTAAAACAGTTTGAACGCCGTCGCAGATAGGTAACTTTTTATTCTGTATGTTATGATATAAATGTAATATTCAACGAGCGAAATTTAATTAACGAGGCTTTATGATGTTAATCCGTTGTGTTTATACTATTGGCTCGGCGTATATCATTTGTCCACGATGAAATATTATTATTATTCAACCGTCGCTTCTCTAAATGAAAATTCATTCGACCCTTTTGTCCGCAGAGAAAACGTATGTTGCCCACATGCCATCGGTATACACTACAGTAGTATACTCGTATACTTATAGGTATATGTGCACGCACAATTGACAAGATTACAAACTATAGACCCGGTTTATAATAACGGTTTAGACTGTTTAAAGCCACTACTCATATTGTCTGTAAGGCTAATGTAATTTAAATATTATTTTTCAGGTACGTAACCCAAGTGTCGTAATCAAATAACGTGATGAGCGTTCAGATAGGCATATAAAACAGACACCCGTTAGCGGCGTGCGAGACAGTCCGAAATTATTGGGCTGCCGTACATAAAGAGAACGAATTTCGTTGATTAACACGTACAATGTTTACTTATGCCGTTGAATTATCTATTCTATAATTAATATAAAATGTGATAACACGAAGAATATTTGATTAATCACAAATTGTTACTATATGTTCACGTATATTCGTGGTGTAAACAATATATGTAATTAGTTATCTTAATACATACGACTTTAGTCTTTAAACCTCTTATGAGACTCTATATAATACAGTAGGCTGTCTAGTTGTTTTAAGGATTAGCGTACTGAGTGTTGAAATACGATCAGTATTGTCCACGGTAGACAAAACGCAGGAGATTGCACAACGAAAACGTTTTTCAAGGGTTATTTCAGTTAGTCAGTTTATCGACATTGTTTCAATTTTTACGTCTCGTGGCTAATTACTCTGTTAAATTCGATTTTCTCCTTATCAAATAGTTATCCTAATTGCATTCTGACGATTTACCTTCATTCTATGGACGGTATTGTCACGCAAATTTAAATAAAATATAAACATACGACTGCGAAAAAAAATTATTTTTCGGACCACTCTAGTATTGACTTCCGAGACCCTAAACCGGTTGGTTTAACCGACGGTGATCGTTCGTTATCGACGGAAATTATATTTATCGAGGTTTATGTAACGCATAATAATTATAAATAGTTAAAAATGATATGATATTATGAATCGTTGCTAAATTTTAGTATAAAGTATAATACGATGGTAAATTTGTGATGCGCGTACGACACGAATGCATTTTATCAATTGTGTATTCCCAACACAGAAAATCGACGATATTTCACTGTTGACACGCGGCCGCGGAGTGTTGTTTTCCTGAAATATGACATGATACTGTTACGGTCAATACGAAAACACGCGGCTCGTAAATACGTTTTAAAAACGACCCAAATTGTATTATCCTGTCTGTTATATACGGTCGGATACGGGTTTCGAAAATTTACTCGAATGACGAGTGTGTGTGTGTGTGTGTGTGTGGCTACTGTAGTACGTTATATACGGCTAAATCCAAAACAATAGGCCAATTCGTCGAAGCAACAGATAAAAAAAAAAACAAAACAAAACTCGATGTTTATGCGCGCGTTAACACGAAACTATACCGCCGCGGTCGCCGTAATGGATATTGCGTTTTATAATTTTTTTTTTTTTTTTTTTTGCGGAATAGATATTACTCTTCGTGTACACCTGTTCCCAGAACAGATAAAACAAAATTAAAATAATAATAATAATAATAAAAAAAAAATTAACGTAGCGCATTTAAATATTTATTTTTCGGCAACGATAAATGCGTATCGACGATATTGTGATGCTCTCGTCGACGATATTTTATTCTATGGTAAAACCTTTGCTCGTCGTCCCGGGCCGTCCTACCGGGCCATCCGACCGGGAGGAGATTACGGGTAGTAATGTAGATATTCCCGGGGCTTAGGTCTGCCGACGGGGCGGGCGTGGGGAGGGGGGAAATACGAAGATTTATATAATACGTAAGTACGCGCACACATATCATACGCGAGTAGGCCGATGTTCCCAAAGGATTCCTAATCACAAACCCACGGTAAAGTTTCGCGTCCTCACACGGCCGTTGTCGTCGCCGGGAATACTACCCAAATGTATTATTGTTATTGTTATATGTTTATATTATACGCGTAGAGCTGGTGACATAAATTAAATCGGCATACACATAATTTACAGACAGTGGCGTAGCCAGGGAGGTTGTAACCTACTGTCCTCCCATTGCTTTTTTTAGCGATAGGTAACCTTAAGCATGTCGTGTATCCCTAAAATCCCTTAACTTCCAACCTCCTTCCCCCACCGTAGATGAATCCAGTCTAAGCCACTGTATACAGAGTGCAAAAAACCGACAATCTCCCGTGCATGATATTTATACTCGTTGTATCAATTAAAATGACTTGTTTTTTTTTTAAAAAAAAAAAATAATAAAACGGTTCATCATGATAGGTAACTAAATTAATCAAAACGTAATATTGTCTTCGTCAGAATTTTACGCAGCATATGATACAGTGTAACATATCATTTTTATGCGATTTTCGGAAAATTATGGCAATGATGATGTTCGAACGTTAATAATTTATAGTCGGGTCGAAATAGTGATTATTGAAATTTTAACCACCGAAACAATCATCACGAGTGAGCTAAAATAGTGGAAAATTATAGTATTTGTATACCGATTTGCAGAATAATAATATATGTATTGTGCAACTTGAAATTCTACTGTGCTATCACCGTAGTGTTTTTCAATAATTCAGAATTATTCTACCACGCTAACAGGTATATTTGAAAAAAATAATTAAACCGGACATATTTGCATGATGTGTACACCAATATTGTAGGTGTGAATTTTCAAAGATATCGAATATACTGTAATTTAGTTCCAATAATAAGAGCAAGGATAAACTATTGAAAAACTAATAGGTTATAAGAGTTACAACGTTAAAACCGATTTTCCTTTTGTATACAAGCCAGAAATCAACAGAAATTAAACTGGTATTATCGTCATATTTTTTTAATTTGCAGAATGTTTCGTCGAATTTTCCCTAACAACAAAGACTGTTGCACTGCACATTGTGTTTGCTATATGTATATATTTTATAATTTATGTATGTATTTGTACTGCTACTTGTTTATACTTTTAGCGGCTGATTTTTGATCAAATTAGCTCAAAGTGTTATTTTAGTTCCGTATACGCCCGAGGACTCCAGCAATGAAGCCGGGAGGATAAAATTTGATATATGCATGACCTATCTATTAATGGCATGCGTATTTTTGGGATTTACCTAAAGAGTTATGTTTTCACGATTTTAAACCAGTTTGGAAATATCCCTAAATGCGGACTTAAATATTACAAAACTAGCAACCATAAGTGTTTTTAGATCGATTATGCTCGAGGAGGAGGGGGAAATGAAATATTGTTACAGAGACAAATCGACCACGGGGAAAACATCGACTCCTCTAGTGACAGAGCTCCGCTGTTCACGTGAACTTTTTTTTTATTAATATTTATATTTTTTGTACACGGTCGTGTGATTATATTATCGCGTAACGTGTTATACGTACTGTCGTACAGATTGTGTGAGCGAAGGGAATGAGGTGAAAAATACATGTACAGGCTGTAACACGAAGATGTGACGCCCGAAATAACTTTTGTCCTGTTCAAAATGTTTACGTTTCTTCCCCTGTATTGATGGCTATAGCCGCGTGTTACGATTTCTCTATTTCGTATTTTTGTATCATTTTTTCAAAAGCAAAACTCCGATAAAGCCATTTTATAAATATAAAATTTGAAACGCACATGTTGACGTAACAAATATTTAATAAAGATGAATCATTACAATGTAACGAGTATTGCGTTCATACTAATGTCTAAATATTGTTTTCAATGCCACCGCGGCTAATAATGCTAAATAATATCGATTGGTTCGCCGATTTTTCCACGTTAAAATAGTTTAGTTAATGGTAAATTGTAAATTATGTAAACAATTTATTTCGAGATTCGAAATTAATAAATATTTCGTAACGGCGAAATTTCGCTACGAAATACATGAGTACGCAATATTGCACAATGCCTGTTGTACACTGGATTTTGTAAAAACAATTTTTTTATTTTTAGTTTTGAAAAAAATATATGTATATATACATATGCAATAAAGGAATCGAATCCGTTTGTAGAAATAGGACGAGAAAAACGGAAAGGGAAAAAAAAAACACGTACGGTCGTGGGCGCACGCAACGAATTCTCGTAGGTGCACCGCACACATACGGAGACTACGCGCGACCGTCTTGCGCAAAAAATGGCCTCGCATTAAACCTGCTACGCCCGTCGGATTTTTCACGGGACTTATTTACGATCGTACGTCACATGATCGAACGGCGGTTTGTCCGATATATGCGTGTGGGACGACGGTGCCGTGTATACGGGAAATGGGTTTTAGGGGGGTGGGGAGGTTAGAATCAGGGAGACGGGAATAAGGTCGGGGGGTACAGACAGAACGAGATAGAGAGAGAGGATTCACCGTTATTTCGGGACCGAAAACGTACGAATGTGGTCACCGCCATTATTGCACCTATTTTTATAACATAGTCGATAGCAAAATATTCTATTATAGATTTTGAGTGGACCGAGGAATGAATTGGTTGTACAGTAATGTTTGTTTTATTTTTTCTGTGAACAACTTTTCCTAGAAATTTCGTTCCTATTTTCTAGTGTTGCGTTTTTTCTGAAAGGAAATTCGACTGGGGCGGTACTTAAAGAAGGACGTTAATTTTTTCTAGGGATTTTCCTAGGGTTTTCTATAATAAATGGGAAAAAACTTAGGAAAAACGGGAAAATGTACGAAATGTATTATTTTAAAATCGTGAATATTACTACGGCCTTTCAAAACATGCATAAACAAACTCCACTCTTTTCATTTGCAGTGATTAATCGTTGCGCACAAATGTACATTAAATTTCCCCTTCTACCTTGCTGTTTTCTCACTTATAACAGTGGCCCACCCATCATACAAAGTATGTGCGTTTGTTTTTTGTCATTTGTCACATGAGACACTAAAAGATACTTTCACGAAAATTCGATTTATATTTTATTTCCGCTTATCGTAATTCGTATTAATGTTACCAAACCCTGTGCAGTCCACTTGCAATGTACCTATTTAATACATTATCCAGTCTTTGAAGTGAAATAACTCAAATTTCGATTTACGATACGTCAAAATGGGAAAAAAAAAAAATAAATATTATCCGTTTTGCGATTCGCACCATAACGCCAATACGCGTTCGAAACGAGCAACGTATTGTATCGCCATTGAATAAACACCGTCAAACGTCGTGAAAAATCCATTCGAAAATAACGTCTTACACGTATTAAACGTTTCAGAAATCCGAATTATCTGAGCATGCACGCGTAATTTAACCGTCGCAGAAACGGGACGAGCACGCCCGGAAAATCACCCTGTATACGCGGTACTTGCGAACAATGTTTATCGGGTCTGTATCGCGCGAGAACTCGGCCGAATGAAAACACGCGATGACTTCTGCCGAGCGTTCGAAACTTGAAAATTGATATAACATAACGCGTAATGTTATTACGGCGATGCAATGAAATTCAATGGTCGGTCGAATAGTAATAATAATAATAATAATAATAATGATATACTACGAGTAATATTATACGCGTGGGTATAGGTACGTACGCAGCCGCACTGCGGGAAAATGCCGATATTATTTAAAAGTTTATTTTAAACTTTAAATCAATTTTATATATATATATATAGATGTATAATATTAATAATAATATGGAAACCCGCGGCTTCAAAATCCTATATTATACTGTACACGCGACTGCTGCCCGCGCGCGAATCAACAGAATGATTAATGCGAATTGCAAACTAGGGATTAATGCGCAAAAATACATGTTTTTTTATTTTATTTTTTATTTTTTTTTTTTTTTTTAAATATATAACCCGCGCGGCTCGGAAGAGAGCTAGAGAATAATATTGCATATTGTATATATTATAATTTACAGGGATAATAATATTGCGTATTATTTATTAAAAAATATATAAATATATTATTATCGTTTTGTGTATTATAACGTTCTATCTCGATTTCCGATTATTTTTTTACGTTGACGACGTTCTCGCAATAACATACCTATACTAGTTACTGGAAAAAAAAAAAAAAAAAAAAATGGTAAAAAAATATATTCGAGTTTTAAAAACAAATTGACGGGATATTTTTCTAGACTGGGATTACAATATGGTTTTTAATCGCAATGCAAACTGCCTCCTCTCTTCCTCCCCTCAATAAAATAATATAATCCTTAATATACGGATTTATCGAAAAAAATAATGATATCGAGTCTGCTCGGTCGGTCACTTCGTATGACTTTAAAATATTGTATTGCATAACTACTGTATTAGTACGTTCGTTTTATTATTTTCATCATGCAAATAAGCAAACGCCAAACGATGTTTTTATTATATCTATTTTATCGTTGTCTTTTTTATTGTATAATGAATTTTTATATATATATATATTTAAAATAATTTAGAGTTCAGATGTTGTATGGCTCTAAAAAAAAAAAAAAACATTAAAAAGAAAAAAAATCACTAAAATTTATTAACCAACATTATAATATGACCCGTTGTATTTTTTATTTTATTCGTTTGTTTAAAATATATACTAGCGCGTAATGTTTTAAAAAGTAGTTTTTCCCGTTTATTAAGAAAAATACAAGGAAAATCGAAAAATAACTCTCCCAACGAACCAATTAGATAAACAATTTCATTATAAATATTAATTTCTGGTAGAAAAATGTATTGTTTGCAATTCACCCCTACCCCAAGAATAAAATACACGTTATACCAAAATCCAATAGACTTCTCGATTCGGTTAGAATATAAACAATGTCTAAAACACCCCCCAACTCTAAAAATAATTATTATAATTCATATTTTTAAACTTTCCGCTGGGCTTAGATTTTCGAAACCGATTTTCCGTCGTTGTCCACGTGCTTTTTACGATGAATGAATTTTCTATAGACACCCAACGCATATTTATTTGGAAAAAGTTTTTCGTGCACACTTCAAAAAAAAAAAAAAAAACTCGTCAAAAACTTGACGTTGTTTTATTTTCACATTTGCCGGGTGAGAACCCAGAACACATTCGTTATGTAAACCGTAAACGTCGAGAAACTACACTTTACTTCTCTCTCTTCTCCCGTTACCCTTAACACCGCCGGCGCGCTCCTACGACCCTATTACGTGCCATTACCGTTTAATGAACTTTCACAGAGTTAATGGTACACATTAGACTGCCATAAATTTGGTCTACAATTTATTCACTTTGTGAATCGCGCGACGTCAATGGTTCTGACCACATTTTGCATTAATTAAATACGCAGTTTATTTTTAGCCCGCGTATGGTATACACGCATCATTAATGAATTTTAAGTACGCTTAAATATTGACAGTAGGCCGTAACAAGCGAATTAAAACACTTAAATCGAAAGTACATAAACACAGCATACCTACACTTATGTTCAAAAACATACACTTATAACAAAAAATCAATAAGAAGAGACAACATAAGACAATATTATAGAAACAAAAAAAATGACCAAAATTGACATAAGCCCTATAAAACCTTTCCTCTATAGTACTAAAGGTGTACATTATAAAGAGTGCATATTCTATCGATTAACTCAAGATAAATGAAATATTGCCTACACTATAAGTTATGATATAATATGGAAACAATTCGGGATTTTTTTCAAATATTTTTCATATTATTGTGTAATATTTAGATGTCATAAAACCGAATTTTATAATGTATTCCAAAAATAAATTTGGAAAATTCAGAGGGCGTCCATAGATTTAATAATTGCAAATTGAAGAAACCAAGAGCTTGGACTTAATATTTTTGAGCAGTTAATTAATCGACACCAAAAAAGCAGTACAAGCCTCGGATCGAGCATCCAATAATGAAGGTAGGGATGTATGGATGATGACGATGATGAAGATATGGTGTTAAAAAAAGTAAACGAGTTTCAGGATTTATAGGAGTTATGTCGAGTGTTAAAAATTATTAGTCAAGAGAGATTGTAACATGATAAAAAAAAGCAGAAATTCATCCTAAATAAATTTATGAAATCAACAATTTTCTTAAAAAAAGAAATATAATAATAAAAATAATAAGACTATTTAATGTAATAATGTGAATCACACTCGCAAGCAAATCCAAAGCCCTGAAGACTACTAAGATCATTTAAGAAGAGTATGGGAAACAATTTGTGGCGCTATATAGGATAAGAGAATAGATGCATGGAAACGAAAAATACTATTGCAAATTACAGGAAGAATAGGATAATGCCAGTTGCCAATTTTATAAAAGGACAATGATTTGATTATAATTAAAGACCGGATTTAATTGATATTGCAACTTTTTTTTGCAATAAAAAAAAAATCGGATCTGATTAAATATACAGCCGATATATACTAAAAATATCCTGCCTATTTAATTTTATAATGCGATTTGTATAAATTTTCCCACGTTTTATTAAATCATAGGAATTTATCGTTCGTCTGGAATTTTCTAGAAGCTCGGAGAGCCCAGTAAGCAATAAGCGTTTATATATGCATACATATGGTTGTAATTAAATTCAACGTAGTAGTACAGCGATTCGTGTGCGTTTACTTGTTGGTACTTGAATACATATTTCTTTGATCAGTTTGACCGCACAGCGAACGTATTTGATGTATTGCCTAAAATAAAATCAACTTTAAAAAGTAAGATTTAGAATTAGATTGCTCCTTACAATGATGATAAAGAAGTATTTTCATCAGATGGAAAGGTTATATATTGTTTCGTGTGTAACAAATCTGTGTCTACTGAAAAAAAATATCTATTAGATCATCATTCCAAAACAAGTGTATTAGTTTGTATTTTATGCTCATACCACATGTAAATTACTACACATTATTTCATGAATACATATATTGTTTTTAGTTCAACAGATAAATGCATTACAGAGGAATAAAGAAAAAAAAACAGCTTTTGATTACTTCTCAAAATTCGAATAGTAAAAATGTATTTTTTGAAGATTTATGCAACGCATTTGTTGCTGTAAATATTCCTTTGCATGAGCTGGGCAATCATGTGTTAAAATAATTTTTGGAAAAACATACTGGCAAATCATTTCCGGACGAAAGCACTTTAAGGAAAAATCACATAACAAATATTTTTAAAAACGTTATGGAGTAAATAATTAGTGATATTGAAAATAATTATGTATATACTCTTTTCGTTTATTGGCTATTGCAAATTTATTAATTATTAAATTAGTTGCATGTAAAGAACAAGAATCCACCAATTATGAAACTATTTGTTATCAATTCTTCGTCAAGAATGTTTCCTGGTATTGAACAAAAAGTATTAATTTTTATTAGTGATGCTGGTACCTACATGATCAAAGCAGCAAAAACATCAAAAACATATTTTTCCCGAAATTAATTCATATTACATGTATGGCGCACGCAATTAATAGAGTTCTAGAGGAAATTCGAAAATTATATCCTGACATTAATAAATTAATTGACAATAGGAACATATTAAGTAACTATTTTAAATTAAAATACTTATGAAACTTATATCATTTATTTCAGGAAAAAAAGCTTTCCTAAAAGCACCACATATAATGAATAAATACAGAAAAGAAATGACGGGTATACTTTTATCACCTGAACCTATTATTACAAGATAGTGAACATGGTTAAATGCTGCACTTTTCTATGCAAATAATTTTGAAGAGTTTGAAGAAAATTTGAAGAAAAACGTGTTTGAAAGTTTAATAGATGATGCTACAAGTGTCGAAAACAGCTGAAACAGTTTGCACAAAATAATTTAATCAAATGTAGTTTAGCGTTCATAAAATTATACTTATCCGAGTAATCCATGAATCTTAAAAATGTGGGAGAATCTAATAGTGAACTACTGAAAAACATGGAAAAATTGAAGATATTTTAACAAATATTCCTAGTCCTAAAATTAAAGAAAAATGTATGCATGTAATTGAAAAAAAATAAAAGGTATGCAACTTTGAAGTCTTACTATAAAGTTATGTCAAGTAAATCAAATGTTAATTTAAACATAACGCTTACTTTATTAAATTGTTTTAAATATGCACCAATAACTAATGCAAACTTAGAACGTAGTTTTTCTTTGTACAAACATATTTTATGTAATAAAAGATTTAATTTTAATGAAAATAATTTAGAAATGTATCTAATTATAAATTTTAATTACAAAAAGTAACATTTATCTAATTTTTTTATGTAACTTTTAAATTTTTATAGTGCAATTTATTATGCAATTTTTGTGTGTTTTAAATGCAATTAAACCGGGTCTTTAATTATAACATCTGGCTTGGTCATGTCATGCAAAGAAATGAGGAGAAGATGCTTAGGGTAGTGTTATAATGGTAATCTACGGAGAAGATACCTTGTGGGATAGCTGCATAAAACAGAAGATAGATTCAATAGATTAGGAGTTCAATAATGAAAGATGTTATTTTAGACTACAGTAGAATGGAAGGGGATCCAGATTGCGGGCGACGAGAACTCTTAGAGGTTATTAAAGGACAGAAGAAGACGAAAAAGAAGAATGTGTTCAAAAGTGAAAATCAATCACGGTTATTTGATTTAACTCGCAGTGTATACAATTATATAGTGAGATATTTTATTATTTTATGAAAAACCGTCATAACCTTTGTTTAATTTTTTATTCTACCGTAAAACTATCACGACCGATCTAGTTTTATGCATACAACCACGAATTCTACGAAATATAAGGAAAAACTTTTGAATAGTTTTATGAGAAAAATAATAAAAAAATTTGATTTGATAATATACATATATAAATATATATATACCTATACATATATTAGCATTTACATATCATTTGATTTTGAAGAATATCGTCGTGTGTGGGTGAGAATTATTTAAAAGAAAATTTAAACGTAACAAAACCGTGCAAAGTAAATAGATTTTAACCAGTGATAAAGTTCGATTTGATAGTTGTATAGCTGCGATATAATACATTGTACCAAAAAAGATCCAAATCGAGTTTAGATATTATTTTGAAGAACGCACACACACGTAAACACAAAAGTATATAGTTTTTAGATTTCTAAAATATAAGTTTTAAACACATTATGTATTGTTCACGTCCGTATAGTTACAAGTTCAGAGTTACGGTTGTTGACGGTAGGTCGACAAGGACATATACAGGGTGTCCCACTAATATATACCCATTGCAATATCTCCGGATATACTAAAGGTGATCGAATTTCGTGTATTTTTTTTTCTTATATTACTCACAGGTATAAGGACTATGCATATTTATATTTCAATTGATTTTTTATATTTTGGTAAACAACTTAAAAAATACATTTTTGAACAATTTGATGATAACAATTGTATAGAGTTTATTTGTATGAACATTTTAACGTATAATTTTTCATTACATTCATGATTTTGAATAATATTTTAAAGTTCAGAAAAAAAAAGTGTACAGTCAATTAACCATAATGATAATAATCATTTAGCGAATGCGATTATTACAGACTGCTGCATAATTATAGGTACTTTGCTCTAAACTTTAAGAATTGATTAAAAATCGCGAATTTTATGAAAATAAATAGCTGAAACGTCAATATTTTCAGAAGAATAAACTCTACAAAATCGACATAGGTATTCAAATTTTTTGAAAATAATAAAATTAAAAATTCAATTAAAATACTTACAAAATATAATTATTTGTTATCCTTATCTCTGCGAGTAATATAAAAATAAAACAGAATTAAATTATCTTTGTTTTTCAGGAGGTACTGCAGTGGTTATATCTTCGTGAGGCACCTATTTATTTTTGGTCGTAGCATAATTATTATTAATTTATATATATATACATATTTATCCTTAACGTCACTATTGTTAATATTAATAATTTAAATATGAATATGTATTAAACATAAATTCATACTAACCACCATTAAAAAAAAAAAAAATGGGCACCGAATTACAGTATGTAGGTACTTCGAAAATGTCCTGTCAAATATTTACGAATCAAGATTTTTTAAAATATTTAGATTTATACACATAAGAATAATGCGTAACTATATTTCCAAATTATTTTAAAATAATTGTTTACACTATGTAAGATTACAGTTTATTTTTTAAAGTACGTTTAGAAACCTAATACTAATTTGTGTACAATAAATTACGTGTAGTTTGTAAATTTACTTACTTCATACTCAAACGTAGAACACACGTAAACAAATAAATTAAAGAAATGAAAAAAAATATGATAATAAAACACGAGGGAAATGAACGCAGCGTGTTAAATGAGACCCTCTATCCAACTCCCCGGCTCTCTCTCTCTCTCATTATATATGAGTATATATGTATTCCTCAGTTCATGCTTGTACGATTATCAATTGTAATTTAAAAACAAATCATAAAAAACTACCACTTTAAGCTTACATAATATTATTTTGCGTAAAATAAAAGTAATAAACAAGTAGATTTGTTCCGAAGGAAAACGTACAGGTATAATAATATATTATTTGAAGTACAACAATGGGTCGTAAAATAGGGTAAAATAAGCTTACGAATAAATCCGTATACGGTGCTTAAAATATAGTCGAAGGTATCATTTCTATATTTTATAATAATCCTGGGGAAAAAAATAAAAATAAAATAAAAGCCCATAATATGTACTAGGTACATAGTAACTTCCTTTTATTAAATTTCTGTTTTGAGGTCTTCAAAATATGCAAAAGCAATTACTGTAGGTAGGTATATTCTTTGTGCGGCGCAAGATAAAATAACAAGGGATTCATTTTATAAAAATAAATAATACCTACTACGAGGTTTCGTCGGATATTCGGAAATCATATTTTATCGGAATATAATTAAATTCACGCGGACCGTGCGTTAATAATGAGCCCACAATTTATAATATCGGACCATCGATACTGCAGTATCGAGTAACAAAAATATTACATCGGCGAGAGAATATTACGTTAAATTTATTTTTATTTTAAACATGATTCCGTGCATTATAGACAGAATGTGGAGATTTCCCATGTGAAATCCCGATCGCTACGAAAAATTGCAATAGAAACTTTTACGTAAGACTTTTGCAATTGAAGTTTATTGGCGTTATATGCACTGCGGGCGGTACACGCACTTATAAAACGCCATTCGAGACGGCACCACCGGACACCGACGCCTAAACGATTTCGACAAAGAGGTTGGGGGTTAGGTCAGAGATAAACGAGTTGGGAATTCAATGAGTGTTTATCATTGACAGCGATGGCGAACGTTGGAATTCTGAGGGAAATGCGACGGGAGTATAATAATTCAAAAGGTCCATTGTTAAAGAGTCATCTCGTCAGAAGAGTCTAAACGCCGCGCTGACAAATCGGCGTCCATTAGTTAGCTTGGGATGCGAGAGCAGCAACAGTATGGGTGGTTGTCATAATTTTTATTTTTTTTGCTCTCTCGTTCGCGCGCTACTCAGGAATGAAAAATCATTTGTAAACCGTACACTCGTAATCTGAAAACGGGCGGAGGGAATATTAATGATAGTAGAAAAAAATATATTATTGGTCGAAATAAATAATAACACGCGTTCGTCGTCGTGTTCGTGACGGAATCCGATTTAAAAACGTATCGGTCAGACGGAGAAGTCACGATAAAGTCCAACTCCATATTTCATTCCGGAAAGTTTTATTTTCCATTTATTTACGTATATACGGTGTATACTTAAATGGTTTTTTTTTTTTTTTTTAATAATTCGAGTCCATTGAATTTGTTTCGATTGGAATGACTGCGGACCGACGGCACGGACGCAGACCAAAGACGTCATTTGTTTTCATCATCATACAGTACTTATCAATAAGGAGAGTAGCGTAGACAAAAACGAAAAAACGCGGATAAGACGGGAAAAGTTAACGAGGGAACGTGGGGGGGGGGGATTGAAAATATTGAACAATAAGTAGGTAATAAAATCCGACGCATTTAAAACCATTTTAAACGTTTCTTAAAAGTGTATCCGTGCAGCGTTTACGCATTGGGAAACAACAAAATACATTTATCTATACGGTCACGGTTGTGAATATGTTTAAGATAATGTTATCGGTACACATATTTAGAGGGGCGAGGGGAGGAATCGCAAGCACGCGCCCCGTGCGGTGTATAATAATATATAGCGGACGTTTTTAGCAACAGGCAAATGGTAAAAAATAAGGGGAAAAAAATGTACGTGTCCGGTGACAAGAAATATAAGAGAATATCATCGTGTCTGTACAACAGTGGCGGCGGCGGCGGCGATGACTAATGCGTTTATTTTGTATAGGGCTCCGACGACGACGACGCGAACCCTTGCGGAGGTTCGTTACGCGCCAAAAAGGTCACATAATCGTTTACCGGTATATAAAAGTAGTGCAGCTAGGGTAGAACCGAAGGTGTGTAGACGAGAAGACAAAATATCTCTACGCTTTTTATTTATTTATTTATTATTTTTATTTTTATTTATTTTTTTTTTTTTTGCACTGCAGTGTCGCTCGACTTTTCGCTTTTGTCGGGTCCATTTGTCGGTCCGTCGGCCAAATGATAGATTGCCAAGGCGTCTATCTTTCTCTGTGTGTGTGTGTGTGTGTGTCTACACTGCTACTACATTCCTATTCGACCGGCTCAAAAGCTCAAAAGACAACCCTCCTCGGCAACACACCTTCGATCCACACTGCGACATCCAGATGGTTGTAGTCCAAAAGGCTTTCTCGCACAAAAACGGATTTTCTACGACTACGATGTGTATACATATATATATATATATATATATATATATATATACAATAATAATATATTACGCTGCACAAACACATTAACGGCGGCGATGACGACTCCCTCCTAATCATTATCAGCTCCTTTTAAGAATTTCGGTACCGTGATTAAAACCCCGAAGCTCTGAAAACGCTTTGACGTTATACGTATACTCTTGATTAGTAACGAGCATTCACAAAAAGGCTCGTCGTCTTGTCGTCTTTAAGGGCGATGTATAGAGTTGACTGCGGAGTTAAAAGAGAAAAATACCGTTATTATAGATGAATAGACGGGGGAAAAAGGGACTCTCCTTCAAAAGACATCCCAGACCATCGCCGCTGCGCTTTACGTAAAATAAACAAAATTCTCATTACTTTCATGGTATTTTGCCGTATTATACAAATAGACTATAGCGTCGCAAATCGATCGATCAGCAATATATATATATTTATAATATTAACGATTTTCAATAATGCGGGAACGTTTAGTACGAGTTTAGTCAATAGAGTTTTAATATAAAAGAAAGGAAATTATTTAGTTACCTATAACAAAAAAAAAAAAAAAAAAATAAACCAGAACGTTTTTATTTTAAAAATAAAAATATCGATGAATATTATCGGTATGACGACGTTCGTTATTATTTCGTATAAACTGCAGCGATGTTTTTATTTTTTTTTCCCCCCAATAATATAGATTGAAATACGAATAAGGTTAAATTGAAACGTCAACGGATAGTCGATGTCTGTTGCTTCGTATCAATATGATACTAGCTGTTATCCCCCCCCCCACTATGGCAAATAAACATAAATATATAATTTTTTTTTTCAAATCATGAACACTTTTCATATTGAATAGTTAAAAACGAATTGTTTCAAAATGTACAATATTTCGTAACTCGTATTTGATTAAATGTATAAAAGCGAGCGAGTCAACGATGCGTTTTTATGTTCCCGGAAATCCGTTTTTCGGGGCTAATAAACGCTATTAAAGTGTTCGCGCAGCAATTTAAAGAGTTTAATACATAAGTAATAAGTATAGGTAATTGAGTATTATAATACGAATCGGTTTGTGGAAAATTAATTTTGTTTAGTTTCCCCGTTCGGCGCTATGAAATAGTACACGAGAAACAACTGCAGTGAACAGCAGAGTTCCGTCACTATATAGAGTCGAATCTCTCGCCATTTGTTTCGCATAGTATGCTGTAGAACTTTGCAAAACGATAAAAAAAAAAACCGAGTACTTACAACAATAATAACAACACTATATTATAAATTACTTACAAAAAAAAAAAACAATTTACGAAATTTGATCATAAAAATGGTAGGGGCGGGAGTTGAAAGTTCAAACCCCCAAGAAGCGCGTGATATGTGCACCGACACTTACGTCATGCATATACAACACATTCCGTGCATCCAGTTTAATTGAGGAGGATCCGTATGTATAAAAAAAAAAAACACTCTGCTCCCGTAACAACCGTGGTCAAATTCACATTGGAATTAAATCGAATTTCGATCGTTTCAGTTGTACAACGCGAATTCCAGAACCTCAGCTCGTTTCGACCCGAAAGAGTCGTTGATGATGATGGTCGAAAGTAGCGAGGGCACGGGGGGGAGGGAAATATATAACAGAGAAAATGGCCGCTGCTAATTTCGGGGAGAATTTCGCGAAACCGGAATCGCTGTGCTCGAAAGTTTCGTCGGCACTCGAAACAATTACGAATTTTAGTTTTTAGAATTTCTTTTTTGTTTTTTCGCTATCCGTTCAGTTAATATGCACGCGGGAAAATTTGAATATCCCCGTATTCCCACGCGCGTATTTTACACGTAATAACGTACACCGCTGGTTTTCACGCTGGTTGCCGAACGAACGCCGCGACAATCGAAACAATCGAAAGTACGTTTGAAATGAAACAAAAAATTTACAATATTATCGTGACGCGGAGCAGCGGTGCGATTGGACGCGGCGCTGTTATCGCGCGGTGGTGTCGGGCGCGCGATTTTCGGTTTTTCAATTTGAAAATTAAAATACGTTAACGTACGGCCGGACGCTGTGCGCGAATGCCGTGAACGCGGGCGCCGGTCATTTGTTTCGAATTAAATATCGCGAGAAAATTTCCGGCGCGACAAAAACGCGCACGGCGCGTGACGTTATTGCGACGCACGCGAATGTTTCGTGTTCGGGCGCCGACGACGACGCGGATCAAACGGATTTATCAACGGCGCACGTTGCGGTTAGGTGTTAATTCTCATCGGCGCGAATGCGATCCGTTTTACCGGTGCGCGTGGATTGCGCTAAAAACGCGAAACGATGCCAATTTCAATTTTACAGTGTAAATAATATTTTCCCGCCGCCCGTTCCGTTATCAATGAAACGTTCACGGGGCGAATGAGCGGCTCGTCTAGCTACCGTAGGCGCGTGGTGCGCTGTTATTATAATGATGTAAAATTTCTTTATTTATTTATTTTTTTTTTTTCGTATTTTATTTTTGCCCTCGAACGCTCAACGATACATCAAACGCGATATGACATTTTTCGGACGGCGATAATATCCGACGACGGGGATTTTTACATTCCGAGTATGTATATGTATGAGGACGAGGAGAATATAATATTCGGCGTATCGGTTTTGCTATATTATGACGCGTGTTTTTTTTTTTTTTTTGATCTGTCTGTGAATAATTTTTCTACATAAAATAATAATAAAAAAAAAAAACAACCGAATTAATCGAAATTTAATCATGGAAATAATATTAATTACGTACGGTACAAATAATTGAATATATGTGCATACGAAAAAAAATCAATATGTCCTAAAGGATGTGTGCAACCGGTTTCGTTTATATCAGTACACAACGCGAACTAAGATCTTAGTTTTCTACCAGAAAGCCCATTAATATTCGAGATGATGAGGAAAACCTGGTTTTTAACTTACTTAAGGAATAGATAAGCTTCAGGATTTCCGATAGAAAATGTTGGCCAGTCGATGCATGGTGAGGTCAGCTTTTGTGTTTTTCACACTTGGGAATATCACAGAATACTACTCTTTGAAATCATATTACATACATATATCGCGAATAACGAAACGAATTACTCGTTGGACAAAAATTACTTTCTTATTTATTGATATATGTTGATTTAAGCAAGGCATTAACGAGTTAAAAAGTTAAAAGTAGATTTTAATTTAATTTTCAAAATGGCTTTTGATCTCTGATTATTTAAATTAAATTTACAGTGAAATTAACTTAATACATAATTAATTCATTTTGACTTTTGAGTAGTAGCACGTTAAATTAATTTCGGTTTATTTGAATTTTAATATACGATTACATTTACAATCCATAGAGTACAATATTTTACTCAATTCGAATAGGTGTCGTCGTATAAATACAATTTTTTTACTCAACATTGTACTCAAACACGTGTGGAGTTCTGAAGTTTGAAATAAATTTAGGCGTAGCTTCCTACTGGATCCCCCTCTCAAGCTACCCCTAACTACGTCTTCAAAAATAAATATTATTTCCCAGAAAATGTCTCTGCGTTAAACAATTATTTAAATGAAAAAATAAAAAAAATCATAAATTATAGGTGTTAACGATTTTCACAAGGTATTTAAAATTTTACAAAATTATAAATTCAATGTGATAAACTTAAGACAATTAAATTGCCAAATTAACTTTTGAATGAATTGAATTATAACTAATAAATCCACTTAATGAATTTTTTTTACGTTTTAATTTTTTTTTTTTTGGATAAACTTTAATTAAATTAATTGTTATTCATCGATTTGTTCGATCTTGAATCATAATATACGTTCGACGGTTTTTCTACGGAAATTATTTTCGCGATTATATTTACGGACACTAGAAGTAGAATTCCGTGAAAACGTCGGGCACGACGTATCGGGCGTATAATACGTGAAAACCAGACATTATACGGTATTGTTCAAAAACGCATTTCGGAGTCGATTCACTATTTGGGGTCTCCTCTCATACGCGGATAAAACCGTATTACATCATCCGCGCGTTCTATACGCGTGTTTAAATGATAATGATAATAATAAAACGAAAAAACCGAACACGACGATAATCACTTTCGCAAGTCGAACCGAGTCTGTGTACCGTATCCGCGTATACGTATATCCGCCGAGCACTGCCATCCCGCGGCTGTCGCATCAATCACACCGCACCTCATAATACTCGGTACCGCCGCTGCCGCCGGAAAGAGCAGGGGCGGTGACGAAGCGATGCGGTCGGAAAGGGTTTAAGCGGTGTGAATACTATTAGATTGTGGGAGATGGATGCAGTGGCAGAGAGGGTGGCGGATGTTATAGGGGAACTGTTTGGCGAAATATTTCCGATAAGACGGATCGAGCTGGTGGAACGTGGAGTCGTGGAAATGCCAGCGTCGACGCTATTATCTATCACACGCGTGGAGCGAAGGGAATAACCGAGCATAAAACATGTTGGCTGTTTTTCGCAGTTATTTATAGAAACGTTTTGAAATTTGCGCGGTTATTTTTTTCCGTTTGAAATCTGACGAAAATATCACGACAAACTTCAAACTTGTTAATTTCCTAGTTAATAAAACGTTTAATTGTTATTTAGCGAAAAGTGAGCGTCCCAAACAATCGTGCTTCGTTTGTAACAATCTGTTTAAATTTTTTTTTTCATATTTACTTAAACAACGGTGAAGGAATGCGAAGTATAAATTTAAAACTCATAATCGATTATTGGCCACTTTTCGTGGTCCAATCAACTTTAAATTTTTGTACGCACCCATATTTTCGATCACAGTACAATAGTCAATAATCAGATTTCCTATTTTTCGATATTCAAGACGCGTGCAAAACGGTTTTCGTCTTGAACGGCGAATTTGGAAAAACTGTTGAAATATCGAAAACTTGATCATTCAATATTGTTGTCCATGTGTTCCTCACAATGTATAATTCGTGGTCAAATTTTCCATTTTCCCGAAGAGGTGGACAAACGATAGACGATTAAAGACTATTTAGCCGTGGCATCGATTTTAATGAAAATATTTTCACGCGTATACTCGTACATCATGTTAACATATAAATTAAATATAATATTGTACCTATAGACGATACTCGATAACATACGTTTTAAACGTACGAGTCGCTTTCGGCAAAATACGAAATCGAATGAAATCCATCTATTTTACAAGGTGTCTTTCCGGTACGATATGACTTGTTTAATTGAAAACGCACCGGCTCCGGTACCCTTAACCAATAATACTTTCGACCGCTGCATATTATTGTGTATCCTACCCGCACGATAGTCCGTTGACCTATCCGTTGGAGGGATGAAATTAAAAAGCTGTCCTAGGATAACGGGGATGGGTGCAGCCACTGGTGTTGGTGAGAAGTTGGGAAGGTGGATATAGAGAGGAAATAGATTTGTATCCGTAAGCAACGATAAACCATCGCTTATTAAAAACGATTCTGAGCGGAGTTCAGTTGACAATAATGCTTTGACAACAATATATATGTCATATTACGGTAAAATAGGCATTATATATTTTCTTTAATAATATTTGATTGACATTATACTGGTTTTCCCGTTTTTCTTATGTTTTCCTGGTTTTTCTATGTTTTTCTCGGTTTTTTTGATGAGCGAAACTCCGGAGAAAATCGAAAAATGACCTGCTTAAAGTATCACCTTGAGAAAATTTCCTTTCAGAGAAGAGTCTACATGGTATACACCGGAGTAAGCTTTCTCGTAGAAAGTATTCACAGAAAAGAAAAAAAAAAAAACTTTGTAAAACCAATAAGTTCTTCGCTTCACTAAGAATCTAAAATTGAAAATTTGTCTTTGCGCGCGTCTGATCTTAAATCGCTTATTATTAGGTGTAATTAGGGCTGAATACCGGGGCAGTTGCATGGTCGGTACAACCGCAACGTGTTCGTGTAAACATATTACGTAGTTATCAATCGTTTATTATTTAACATTTATACGCTCGTCGGCCGTTACGTACGCATCGTGTTTGTAAATACACAATTTGGTCGGTACAACGTCGCGAAAGAAAACGAAAAATCATCACCCAACGTCGACGAGTTACTGCCAACGGCTCTGATATGATAGTATTATTATTACGGTGGTATGGGTTCAAAAACAATACAGCCGACATTATTTTACGGTGATTTCACGTAAGTAATCATACAATAATTTTAACTACTCATTTGAGTATCTTTAAAGCGGCACGGACGATGTGTTTAAACGCCATGCGATACGCGTTACGACTGCCCCCTACAACTTCCGTCACCCATTCCGAAGACGCTTCGGTCTACCTATATGCATCCCGCGGGCGACCTTTCCGACTTTGCGTCTACGCGAAAACAACGGGCATCGGCGGTGAAAGTCATTATTTTTCTATCACGACGATTTCGGACACTGTACACGATAATCGCGGTCCGGCGCCCGGTGAAAAGGAAACAGCATGGCTCGCGGTCCGTGCGGCGGACGTCGCGTTGAAGATTTTCGTCGTTGAGGGTCAGGCGGGGTGATACAGTGTTCCGGTTATTTATTATTATTATTATTATTATTTTTTTTAAAAGGAATGCGACCTTTTTTCTCCCGTCACCGCCGCTGCTTCGGCCTCCTCTAGCGGCGTCGCGTGGCGGTAAATGAGGCCGACACGAGCGTTGAATACAAATGTCCCGCGTCCGCACCGCCGCCACATCAAAATCGGGTCGAATCTCGGACACAAACACACACACACGCGCACAGAATGGACACGTATTGTGGAGCGCGTGCAGGGGGCGGAGGGGAAGGGGTGACTTTAAAATATCGCCGCTCGGCACGCGCGGGGAGGTGTGTTTTTATTCGGTGAAAATCGATCGTACCGAACATAATTTGTCGAGTACATACCTGCCGCGTGCCGGAGACGACGATCTTAAAAAAAAAAAAAAAAAACGCACTTTTTCCGAGCGCGCACCACCACTTCCCCGAAGAACCCCTTTTCTTCGGGTTTATCTCTTTTCCGCCGCCGACCGCCGTGTCTCGTGCTCCCGCCGCGAAAGTACCGAATTCCGAACGCGATTACTTTTTTTCTTTTTTTTTTTTTTTTTTTTTTTTTCCGTCGTCATCGACGGCTGCGCATAGGACGACGTTGATTTTCAAACGTGAAATTGCCCGCGCCAGGTCGTAAAATTGAGATGAGAAATTTAACCGTTCGTTCCGATCTCCGGGACGGTGTCCCCGCCGTCGTCGCTCGCCGCCGGCCGGAAAACAATTCGAATGTTCACGTCTCGACGGATACGCGGATATATATGCGGATTGTGCGCGCGATAGCATGTAAACGTCCTACGCGTTTGCCGAAAAATGTCAAATTATACATTTTTTTTAATAGCGAAATAATGGCGAACACTGTAATATATAGTTTCTCGTTTTCAAACCGATCCGGGCGCTAACCGGAGTCAAACCGCCTGGAAAAATGTATATATGAAAATACCCTCGAAGTCTAGTTTTTTCAAACTATTTTTTTTTTTGTATTTAAATACTACGGCTGTAGGCACGGCCCCAGGAGATTGGGTCGGAACACTGGACTATCCCAAGTGTGTTAATATTGTATTCGAATGTCTAAAATCGTTAAAATGTCGAAAATTTACGGTGCTTTATTTTTTTTAAAATTCAACTTTTTTTTTTTTTTTTCTTTTGTAAACAAATAACAATATAATGTTTTTATTTGTCTGATTCCGACGTATTTGCGTATTCGCTAAACATATATTTAATATCGTTAAAACGTGCGCTCTAACCTCACAATCCCGATTGATTTTATTAAAATTATTATTACTTTTACGTTTTTTTTATGTCGTTATCATACTGCACTCAGAAGCGGAAAACATTCAATTGTAAAACTACTTTACGGATTTAGATAAATAATGTGTATGCACAGTGCAATACTCGTTGAGTACTGATCACTGAGTGATTAACCGGCTGTTGTTCTTATCCATTGTTAATAGGTGTATTGTTATAATTTAAATGGCACAGTTATAATATACAGTTCAACAAAATTACACGATAAAAAATAGTGTTTTTTTTTTTTTTTTAAAAACCCATATTTACTATGGGCAGAAAGAAGAGGGCTTGCGAAAATTACCACCTCGGCGCCAAAGACTTGAATATTTTTCTGCCTAACAGATTAAATATAGACAAAATAACTGCCGTGTCTGCGCGGTCGATTCTTCCAAGACCACCGCGGTTTAGAGTGACGACAATAAATATTAACACGCGAGTGTCGATGTTCCGGTTAGACAACTAGACAAATTTCAACTAGATACGGATAAAACATTATTGACGGAAGAGTATCTAGATTTAGGTAACAGGTATTTGTACCTGTAGTATGTTTATCTAAACAAATTATGCCGAAATAAAATTCTAATAGGGCGGCCGTGCAAAATTACGGATTTTCTAAACTCATTTATGGACAATTAAAAGTTCGTTAACTCGTTAAGTTATACGGTTAAAATATAATTAACTCAAGCGAAACCTAGGCCAACGAATTTATTTACGTTCGTCCCCGTCTAGTGTCCTTGTTAGGTAATAATAAATCAGAAACCACCGAGTTCAAATAGCTTTGAGTCGTTTAATTCAACGCCACGACTTATTTGAACACACCAATAGAAAATTAAATATGACGGGTCAATCTAAAAAAAAGAAAACGTACAGAAATAAGGCGAAAAAATGCCGGACAATAACGTACCGAAACCGTTTAATTTGATATTAGGGGACCGATAAACACATAAAACGATATACAGGTATACCGGTTACACAAATAGACCCATCCCCCCGAGGTGTCTGAACAATGTCGATCACGAACCCCGTAAGACATCTCGGTCCGTCGCGAACGCTAGCTGTCTTATCTTATCATCGACAGATTATCGGGGACGCCCCGCGAACCGGATTCTCGCGTTCGCGTCGCCATAGCTCGTTTGTGCGACCGGTGCGCCAACAATCGTGTCGCGAACCTGCGGACGCGCGCCCCGGTAAAAGACGCGAGTGAAATGTCCCGCGTTCAATCCGGACGGTCCGCGCGGGCGCGTAAAACAATCGTAATAATAACGCGCGGTACACACAATACACGAATGCACGTCGGTGGGCGCGCGGCCGTTCGAGCGTCCGCGCTCCGAGTGGGTTCCCGCGTTAATCCGATAAGGGCTTCCGCGACACGCGCGGCGGCCCCCGGCACCGCCGGACACGGTATACCAATTAAATCTGTCCGCGTCCGATAATCAACTTAACGGCCGGCCACTTCGGGCGGCGGCGGCGGCGTCGTGTTGTTGTTTTGCACCGCCGCGCGCGTGCACGCCGGCCCGTGTCCATTACGCACGCACACGCACGTGCCGTTTTCGGCGCGCGCGAAAGAGACCGCGCGCGCCACGTGTATACAAAACATACATATATACACACACGCGTATACTATATTATAGAGGGGAATATTATTATTTCATTATATTATTATTATTATTATTGGCTTACGGTCCGCGGCGATTCCGTAATAATAATAATGCGGACCTCGCGGCGACGAATCTCTCGGTTTCCGTACGGTTTTTATTACGCGCACACCCCCCCCCCCCCCACCCATCCTCTCTTACGCCGTATTGTTTGTTTCGCGCCGCCCCGCGGCGGCGAGAGCGGTTATCGCGCGGGAAATGGACGTCCCTTACTACGCCGCGTCCGCCGTGACGAAAATCCCCCGGCGGGACGGCTAGTGGAAAGTGTCGAAACCCTTCTACCGCCCCTTCCCCTCGCTCAAATTTCTTTGAATTTTTCGTCGAGGCGTTCGCAGAGAGAGTCGAATTTCTCCCTCCTACCCTCCACCCCCCTCGAAAACAGAGACCGTACCGCGGTATTATTGGGTCGATTGAATTTAAAAAATATTACTTTTTCACAAACTACACACTACAGTGGACACCCGTAGTATATTATAGCCGTCTCCTCCGGACCAAGCGAACTCGGACTCCCGGGGTTTCAGAGCCGTTTTACAGGCGGACCGAAGATTGATACTAGTCGAGTGCAACGCGTATTTCAATGTACGTTTCGCCGTGTTGTGTTACGCGGGAGGACAGTGATTTTTCGACTCCGGACAGTCTCCCTCCCCTGCACCCTCAACCCCCCCCCCCCCGCATCACTCGAACGAAGCCAGCCGGACGGAATTTCGTATACATTATTGGCGTGTCGAGGGTGTTGGGCGTTCCGACACTCGACCCATCCCTGCCCCCCACCCCTCCTAACTGTTTTCGCAATCGAATACCGGCCGTTTTTTGTTTTACTCTCGGGAGTCCTTATCGACGACCGGCCCGTTTCCGTTCGAACCTCGAGGAACCCCACCGGCGAAACACGCTCATCCGCATCGAAATGCACACCGACGCCCGTCGCTATGAGTGGCGGTAATTTCATCGACGCGGAATCGCACGCGAACCGAGGGGGGCAGCGCATAGTCTGTTTTCGACGGACGAACGGTCCGTGCGTACGAACAGAATTCAACATTGGATATCCAAACATCATGTCAATATCAACGCCGTCCGGAAACGTGGAAATTCTCGGGCGATTTTAGTACGCCGCAGTGGTATTACGGCGACGAATGTACCCGAAATCTCGAAATACCCGAGAAACATCGGCGATTCGGTATCGTCCATTTCGGTGCGCCGTAATCGATTTCCCGTAAACGTCACGCTCAAAGACAATAAACAACACGACACAAGTAGGCACTTCAACACTTCAATATCATCCCGGTAATATGGCGCGCAATAGTAAATATATCACGCGTTATTTAACGGCGCACCGTTCGAATAAAAACGTCGTGATCGCATTGTCTCGTAAACGTCAACGCCGATTGGCCGATAGGAAAAGCAACAGCGTATAACGCGAAGATTAACTTATCCCACTCGAATTCCCGGAAACGCCGTAAAAACTTTTGTGCGCGTCTGACGCCGGGAAGAAAATTACAAAAATCAGTATTCGTTTATTATTTAAAATTGTTACACAAGCTCTAAAAGGTTTAAAAGTTTTGGCCCGGAGTACGTATCGAAAATTATTACCTGCAGCAGGTTATAATAATACGGTGCAGCAGTAACTTTCCGTCGTGTTTCGGAATTCCCCGTAGTTTCGACTCGCAACAATGAATTCAATTTTTTAAACGGTTCTCGTATAACATTTTGTAGGAAGAACAAAACGTCCAGACAATCTATCCGATTCGTACACGTACCGTTGTACCATAGATAATTACAGGATACAATTGCTACTGTCCATAACGACAAGATAAGTTCGAGATACTGGGCCCATCATCAAATGCCGAGAGAGACCGTTTTAGTACATATTTTTATCCGCCATTTCAACAGCGCGACTAGCTTAACTTTGTGTGTTTTAGAATTAGCTTAAAAAAAACCATAATTACAGTCAAATCAAATAGATCATTTTTATGGTATTTATTCGCATACATAAAATGTGAAAATAATTAGATTTATAAAAATGTAAAAACAAACAGACATATATCGCACGATGGGTGGGCCACTGTTGTGAGTGAGAAGTTGGGAACTGACCCAGACTCATGTTTGCATTACTAAGTCGTAATCTGAAGTTAGTAGTACTCATATAACTGCAGTGTTCACGGGATAAACTCGAACTCGAACTGTCTGGGATAATGCTGCGACGACCATCAGTCAGGTGTAGCTGAATTTTTGTATTGTGTAGTTTTAAAAAAAAAATGAAAAGGAAACCCCGACTTCTAATGAACACGTCAATTCCCGAAGACTCGGCTGGCGAGAAGCACCGCGCGGCCGCGTTTGACGGCGAACAAACGACTCGGGGAAACGTCGAAACAACGTTGTGTACCCGTACACAATAATATTATAATAATACCTTTGGCCGGACGAGCAAAAGCCGCATCAAAGGCCCGTCGTCTCGCCGCGCAAACTAATTCGAAACTCATCAGCGTTCGCGTCAACCGTGACTGCGCCAAAGGACCTCGCGGCCCCGGGCGGCGGTGGCGGTAGAGACCTGCGGTCGGTCCGACTCACGATGCGGGCGGCGACGACCGGATGATCGGCGCGGCGGGAGGGTGTGTTGGGGGAGGGAGACGGTTCGAAACTCTTCTGGTACGCCGATAACCGGGCGATAAGTCACGCGCGCCAATTTCGAGGACCGTTTCCTCCCCTCCGCCGCGGCGGCAACGATATTTCGCGACAATGATATCGACGGCGGCGGTAATAGTCGTCGCACTATTACGACGCGCGGCGTCGGGCGGTGTCGTTTCCGCGGTCGCCCGAAACTCCGCCCGATATTCGAACGTAACGCGCGACGACGATGACAATGTATCTGTAACGACAACGACGACAACAATTATTATCGTTATCGGAACGCGCGGCGGAGTGGTCGAAACCGATGCGCGCACCCGCACCCCGCCGCCGCCGCCGTAACGCGCGAAAACAATAATAACGTGGCGTTGATCTCGCGCGGTTCGAGATCGTTTACGATTCCGGCCCGCGGTCGGCGAACGTCCGGGACGCGGGCGCGATCCGATTACCGCGCGATCAGACGCGTTAACCGTTCTCGTTTGTCCGTCCGTTTCGATTGGACATACGCGCGCGATTGACGGCGGACAGGTGCGCGACCGGCAAAGCGGATTTTCGACGTTTCTCCTCCGGCAGGGATCGTGAAAAATCGCAAATAACTTACGGTGTATTTTAAATTATGTATTTGCAAACGGTTGGATTTTTTTTTTTTTTTTGATTGACGACATTTCATAAAAAAAACTATTATTTAACGGTGTCCACGCCCTCTAGATCACTAGATCACTCCCCTTCCTCCCCTCGTAAATCCGTCCCTGGCCATTACTGTGAAACGCGGCATTCGTGTACATTAGTAAACGTTATTAGCCGTTGTCGATATGCGTTTTTAAAAAAGGAATAACGTCGTGACTTCTCATGTAACACGGTCATTTCCACAGCGTTTTCCTTTCTAAAACGGCGGCTTTTCGATTTCGTTTTCCGCGCAAACTTAGCGCTTCGTGAACAAACGATTTTCGTTCGTTTCAGAGCCGAACGCTGAATATAATTCTTGCTTTTTTTTTTTTGCTTTTCGTACTATTTTACGCGTTATTATCGTTTACTGTTATTTCAACATGGTAAATAAATTATACAAAACAACACGAGAAGACACAAAAAACAAAGTCGGGAAGGTTAAATCATTACCGGCGTGATATGATTCTGAGTTTGCGAATGATATTACAGGGGAATAAAATGACATCGTGTCGAAATCGTAATTGGTAGTTTGAAAAAAAAATCAGCTAATCAATATTTTTAATGTCTAACATTCCTCGGATAAAAGAAACTCTTGTAGTCTCTTGCGAACATAACATAATATATCGTTTATATTATATCTTTTCTTATGCGATACAGAGTGATCCTCGATAAGACTATAATTATCTCGAAAAGAATTATATTTTTTCGGATATCATTATCAGAGAAAAATTATTTAACAAAAAGTAACATTTTTTGAAATACCTAATGAATGCTCGACGACACAAGAATCGCCCGCTATACCTACGATTTACTTGCCGCGCGAAAATCAATGTGTTAGTAATAGGGTCATTTCAATATGTTTTTTAATTCACGTGTATTACAGGTCACAAAACTTGTCTAGAAGTTTTAAAACAACAGGAAAAAAATTCACATATTTTCGAATAAATTTATTAAACTATCTAATAAAATATTACAAAATTAACTAATAAACTTTCATGCGCCAATCGTCTGGATTATAAATATTTACGTTGTGTCGTAATCGCGTTTTTTTTTTTGTTACAAATCAAAATTAGAAGAAAATATTAATTTAAAAATAAAATATTTATGTAAATCAGTTAGTATCACTGTGTCCATTATTCAAACAATTTACAACGGGCCGGATCACTTTGATATTGGATTCTGAATGCGCAAATGTCGGATCTTGCGCGGTTTAAATGACGCCACTGATAAGTTTAGTACGGGAAGAAAAAAATGGATTTTTACTACTTTTAAAAATCGAATTCTCGGGAGATAGTCGAATGCGTACGTGAGATACTATATATATATAGTAGTGTAAGAGGCAAAAAGTTTTTAAGAGTTATTTCGGTTAGATTTCTCTCGACATTCGGGTCGTTTACTCGGTATAGGTATCCTCCGTGTATTGTATTTGGCACGACGATGACGGCGTAAAGAACCCGACGTGTAAACCGATTCGGCACGAGGAGGGCGTATAGTAATAGTTTCCAATATAAACGGACACTTGGCATCGAGATTCGACACGTTTTTCTACTTTTACCAAAACGGTCAAGAGGGTGCGAAAATAGCCGATATTTTCGAGAGGAAATTCACTACGGCGATGATGGGCCCCGTCTGAATTACCTCCTTCCGCGATTAATGCGTGGAAATAGACGCGGAAACGACGATCATATTAGAAAACACTCTAAACGTAATAACAATACAATCCTACGTCGTCTTGTACAGGTTTGAGTTTAGATTAAAATAGCAAACGGTTTACGGTCGTGTGATAAAATACGCGTGCAGCTATCTAGAGAACGTTTCGGAAAAAACACCGTGTAAATTGTATTTGACGATTTTCTTCATATTTTGCGTTTATTAACGGCCTTGACCAATTCGATCTAATTCATCCAATTTCATCAGCTACTGTCCAAGACTTCTATACAGTATATTTTAAATAAATAATAAAGACAATCGAATAATATTAAAATTCGCGGTTTTCCGGAATCGGGAACCGTAACAGAACTCGACATTTAACCGGAATAATCCGTTCGATATTCGTTTTAATCGCATCGCGCACGAGGCTAAAACGACCGTCGCACGAACGCACGATTACTGATACTGAATGTTGTAGGATTGGACCGAAGATCAGAGGACAATAACGCTTTTACGAAAAAATCTTTAAACCTTTCTCGTCGCTCGGGGAAATCAGCTGATACCGGATTTTTTGGTCAGATCATTTAACGACGGCTCTAATGGAACAGGGTCTCTCTTGGCAATTACTTGGTCGAACTGACGGGGGCCCGCTTACCATGTACGAGGCTTTGGACCGTGACGACGAAACCGACCTACGGAGTGCGCGTATGAGGAACAAAAAAACGGTGGTGTATAGGGGTGTTTGGGGGGGAATTGAAGGGATTTCGTTTCTGCGAAAACGACCTTTAATTACGACGCCGCCGACCCGTAACCCGGAACAGTTGCAATTAGTCACTTTAAACCTGCTGGGCCCGACGTTATACGGCCGGGAAGTGCGTTGAACCTGAACGACGGGAAATTTGACCGAGTTCACTGCTGCGACTAAAAACTAAACACTATAAGGAATAATGAAATTTTTTTTTTTTGTTTTATTAGTAAACCGTTAAAAGTGCGATTTTCATAAAGCAATAATAAAGTTTGCGTCCGTTTTTATTATTTTATAACAACTGCAACTATATATACTACCAACGCGCATTTTCAACGGACATTAAATAATAATATTCCTCCGTATTTAGTTTAAATATTTTTGCTGAAAGTTTTATTAAACGGTTCGCGAATATTGAAAAGTTTGATTAATGCGATTGCGTACATTATAATTTAATATTATACATCCGGTATACCTACTTTGTCCGATGACCTATTTATACGCGATTATTTGTATTAAAACGATAATATAAATATATATTTCTCGAGTTTATTCGTTTTCGAATGTATACAACTCAAACATAATAATCGATTCAAATTTAGTAAAATATCATCAACGTCTTTATCGTTATCAACACGACGTAACTTCACAACTGGCTGCCGGTATCGCCGCCCTCCAATGATCACGGTTCTGTACCCTCTCTTTCCAATCATTTATACGCGCAATCCCACCGCGTATCTTCAATCGCGTCTTTGTTTCGATTTCAAACCGTTTTCCCGTCGGTTGCCTTATTCAATAATAATCGATGCCTTAACTTCACTATCGGTTTCTTCTACTCTCATTATACGTGCAGTCCAAACCACTGATCCATCACGTAGCTCATTGTTACTCAGGTTACTTTGGTCATTTCCCTTATTCCTTTGCTATAAATATTATATTAAATTCAAACATCTAGTCTTTATTTAGTGTTTTTTTTTTTTGTCCATTTTTCGTGCTTAGAATTTAGGTGCACTTGCAGTACAAATACGGATATTTACGTTATACGCGACAGCCGTATTACAATTTAATAAAATTAACATTAAAATAACATGTTATATTAATGCGCATATATAATACTGTACCAGTTAAATACTAGGATTTATATTTTCAACCGGAAACACAAGAAAAATATACGAAATAGTTTCCATAATAATATAATATATAGAGCGATTCATTTATCCCTAATCAGCGATTATATACGTCTGAAGATTTTGAGTAAATATTTTAATTTAATATAATTTTTTTTATACATATAACCATTCCATATCGATTATAACGATCTCGTTTACAGTGTTTTCAAAATCGAACAATATCAATTTCCTGTATGTTTTCAAAATCGTCGCGGTTTAACGATACTATGTCTTAGACCGGAATTTTAATTCGAAGGATCTATCTTCTGGCGGCAGTTTATTGTACCGAAATAATAGGGTTAGCTCTGTGATAACCGGACCGTATATAATTATAATGTAGCGTACCATACGGGCTTATAACAGTTTTCTCGGGGCGTTAAGAAACACAACCTTAAACAAGAAAAATAGTAGAGAAGTAGAACATAAATTAGAATTTATTATCATCGGTACGAATTTAATACGAATTGACGTTGCTGGACTGTGAATCATGATAGACTAGATTATCGACTTTCCTACTTCAAAATATAGATTTATCTGATCTGAGTTTTTAACTTTTACCTCTACTTTTATTTACACCCGCCGTGCGTTTTCATTCACTAAAGATTTTTAGGTTTTATGTTTACACTTAGAACATTAACTTTCTTGAAGCTGTAGTATCGTGTTTGAAATTTTAAAGAGATTTTCACGTTTCGAAGTTGGTATATCTATCTGCATATGAATTTAGGTTGGTCCCTTTCTTATCACTCCGGAAAAACAGGTCATATGCCGTATCACGCATACGTAATAGCGCATTCTACAACGACACATGATAACACAGCATAATACGATGCAAACAAGTATGAGATCGCCCCCTTAAGATAAACGATATAATTACTATATATAGTTGAATTTAGAGCGTAATAATGTATGAAAAAAACAAACCAAAATTAAATTCAATGCTATTGAAATCTTCGTATAAAGATAATAATTGGAGGTTGGTACGTGATGATAGAACGATCGGTATGTATGCTCGTCGAGGATATTCCGCGTGTTGTTTGTGTACAGGGTAAAACAAACAGCGTACCAGCAGTCCGAATAAAATGACAGCGTATATAGAAAAAATAAATAGACTACGTGGTTTCGACAGAATGCGAAATAATTAAATAACCTTTTTTCCGTATTGCGCACGTACACGGCTCAAGTTTCCAAATATTTGTATTTGTTTCGAGTACGTACCGTACCGCTTAATTTCTCAACTCACCTCGTCGGGTTTCGAGTGCCCGTTTACGTCGCCAAACACCACGCTAATTGCCCGGTGAACCGGAACAAACGTGCCAGGGATCGTCGACCTATATTTATTTTTGTTTTTATTTTTTTTTTGGATTTCGTTTCGTTAAAAATGAATCCGTCACATCAGTAATATTTTAATCTGTGTTTTTGTAATCGAGGCTCGATTATAGATTGATCGCGATATCGTTGTTTATTTGTCCGGCCGAGAAATGGTTAAATTGCCGGGGATTTTGAACGAGGGTAGTTTATAATGGAAAAAATGTCCAGAGGAAAATGCAGTCGAACAAAAAAAAAAAAAAAAATAATAGCCAGAGGGAAACTTGGCCGAATACAAAAACAGTCAAATGAAAAGCTTGAACTTAAATATACATATATGTGAGTGTCTAATTTTCACGATGGTCCTATTTTCCTTTATAGATATTTTTACCAGTGGCGTTAATTTCCACTGGCGTTCTGTTATGTTTATACCCGGTCGTTGTTTCCGCGGGCATGTTTGATTTGGCTATTATTGTCAACATTCAGGATATGTAGGTACGTTTAGGTTAGGCCAAGGTTAGGCAAAGCGCAGTTATTAACACAGGAGCGAAAATATTGTTCTTTTATTATGCTCGTTCGTCTCTGATAAAACGGATTTTACGGAAATATTATTCGTGAGAACATAAACCTTTCGACTATACTCGCGTTTTAACGACCCTAGCGAAATAAGCTATCCGACCGCGTAAATATTACTCGTGGTAAATACACCCTGGCGGTCGATTGACCACCCCTCCCTCTTTTCTTTAGAAAAGGTTAAATACGTTCATTAGTGTAAAATATAATAATACACCTACACGAGGTAGGTAAAAATAAGAACTATACGACTTTTAACATAATGAGTCGACATTATGAATTTACGACTGGAATGAGACTACTTGCTCAAAGTTAACCAAAAACACGTGATTTCGTGTCCCTTCGGGTATTTGCCCAAGGAACGTCACTATAATACGTATCATAACCAATATCTTTTGAAAACACAAACAGAATTTTTTATTATTATTATTATTATTATTTTTTTTTTTAAATATTATTCGTATTAATATTTGATTTTATTTTTAGGATCAAATTAATTTTTTAATAGAAAAATTATTATATTTCAGTTTACTGTTTTGTTATCAAACTTCGCGCGGTTATTTCTATGGTAATTTGTTTTACTTGAAAACCCGAGTCGACAAATCCGTAACGCAACACATAACGGATGTAGTAATATATGTTTTTATTGTAAATAGGCGTGTAAAAAAAAAATCACAAAATGTGTCAAAAAGCAATAGACAGCATCGTGTTATCCTACATAATAGGTACTCGTACACAGCACACCCTTATGTAAATAAACAAATTTATCTGTTTGACTAAAGATCCTGCGAAATCCAATTGAGTTGTTCATACCTACATACGTATTATACGAATGTAGGTATGTATGCACGCAAACACTATCACTATTTATTTTTTTTCGTATCGGAGGTTTTCTCTTTTTTTCTTGCCGTTTTCGGAGAACAGATAAGAGTCAATATATTTTTTACGCACGATCGAACCACCGGAAACCATACCTAATATTGTTGGACTTACAATGTCAGCTACGAAAACACACATACATATTATTAGGAAAATAATAAAAACGTTAAACATAGAGGAGTATTTTTGTTTTCTTACTAGTTACAGCCCGCGGATATAATTTTTAAGAGAAACATAATAAATAGGTATTAATTGTTAGACGATATATAATTTGACGATTTTCCGCACACATTTCCCAATCATTTTGTTTCGATTCAATTTATACCTGTATCCAGCGATAAATTATTGATATCGAAGTTCGGTTATATGAATATATGTTTTGAAACGCCGTAATATTTACTATTTTCGTCAAAGTTTAATAATGAAATTCTTATAAAAAAAATATCCATCATTTCACTAAATTATTTTTGCCACAAAAATTTTCAAACATTTCTGTTTGGTTGAAAAATTTAATCTACAGAGTACCTGCCAAATAAAAATAGCATAAAATACTCGCAAAATTAAAATGTCTAAAAAAAAACTCAAAAATGGTTAAACTATTTTGAAAACTTTACCGCGTTCAGAAAAGTAAAATATAAGTGCTCTTTCCAAATTTCACGTCTTTGTGAATATTATAAATTGAATGACAGCAAAAAACAAATTTGAAAGTAATTTATTTCGTACATTTTCCCGTTTTTCCTGTTTTTTTCCCGGGTTTGCTAATTTATTATGAACACCATTTGGAAATTAAAAAAATGACTTATTTATTGCATCATCTAAATAAAAATTGTATTTTTTAGAAAACGTCCTACACTTAAAAATCAGAGCAAGGTTTCTGGAAGAAAAGTTGTTCTGAAATAAAAAAAAAAATACATTCCTCGTTCTGCTCTGAATCTAAGAATTAAATAGGCTTTATACTTTTTCTTTAATAAATTTTGTTTCTTGTTATACCAATTTTCCCAGTTTTCCTACGATTTTCCGGGTTTTCCTATGTTTTAGCCCGGTTTTTCACATTTTAGGAGGTGGGAAAATCCAAAAATTTCCTCCCTAGTGAAATTTAATTTTAGAAATATTGCTATTATTAAAAGTTGGTGCGAAATTACTGGCAGAAAAATTGTGCACAGACAAAAAAAAAAATAAACATCTTTGTAAAACTATAAGCTTCTTCGCTCCATTCATAATCTAAAATAGTTTACAGTTATAACGCGTATTGACGACATTTCTTTAAAATGAAAAAAAACATTTTCGGAGTATTAAATCACTGTATTTATTTATTCTAACCACCCGTAGACCCGTATTTAAAGTAAATCGTCTACGTTTTAATTTATAGTCAGGACTCTTTCGCGCATACCCTAAATCTAAAATCTAGACAAACCTACTAAAACCGATAGAAATTATATTACCGGGCCTCCACTCGACTAGTTTTAAAATCTTCGTGTTCAAATAACGAATTGTACAACATTGTATTATTTTTCTATTTTTTTCGCGTTATACCCACGTGGAATTATTTTAATCTTTCTTTTGTTATTAATTCGTTTAACGTAATTTATCTTGCGATTTAATCAACTTTTTAAACCGACGTTATAAAATATAAATTAATTTGACGTTCATTTCGTATTAATTCTTCTTTCGCGGTACAAAACTAATCGGGTATTAATATTTTCGATTGCGTTTAACACTTCAACCTTTTGCGCACAATACATCATTTATGCGAAATTTAATATCGTCAGCGCCGCCGAAGCATAATTATTAAACTAATCGATATTAAATAAATGATTTAAAACATTATTTTTTTTTTTTGTTTTTGTTATTTTTTTTTTGTTTTCGTAATCGTGGCCGAATATCATGTTATATTTATAAAACGTTAAAATATATTTTACCGCCGAGTCGGACGCGCTTGTGTCGCAATTCCGTGTTGAAATTCGCTATTCTGTTCACTTTAATTAAAACGCAAACACCTCCCGGCGTCGTCCGTATAAACGTGCAATCTAATTTGCTATAATATTCCATCTTGTGATTCGCGTGAGAGATTAATACGAGAAAATACTTTTATCGTTCTAGTGTGAACGAGTGTCGTTTCGGAAATTCGTTTTTGATGTACATCAGCGCTCCCGAATCGCTTATCTAAAATTAATTAAAACGACCGTAATCAAATTGTGTACGCTATAAAACGCGACAAGACACAGAAAAAAAATCCTAAATACCGAAAAGCGGCTGATTCCGATAAGTTTTGTTAAACGGGCGCGCTACCGTCCGTAATTATTCGACTGTAAAAACTGTTTTGCCCGAGAAAAAACCACACGGGCTTTAACGTTAATCATAAAATAAAATTTTCATCGTTGAAAATGGAAACGTTGCACTGTGCGACGAATTTATTTTATTTTCGCGATATTGTAGATAGAAAAACATTTTTTATACTTTGTTGGAAATCCTTAACTTTTAAGTTTCTCAAACTCGAACAACTTGTTCCGGAATAATAATTGTAATAGCGAAAAACTAAAACCTACGTTGCACATTGCTAGTTCTCGCAATAGTTTTGCGGTGAAAATTTGGTTTCTCGATTCTCAAGTACATGGTCCGAGTAGTTTTTACTCGGTTTTTAACCAAACGGTTTTCGGTAAACATTTATGTTATTTTACGCGATTACGCAACATAAATACTTGCAATAAATGACACGAGACTACTTGTAAACGTAAATAAAAGTGAATTTAAATTTTTTCGATTTGAAAGAATAAAATTTTTTTTAAAAAATTCAATAAATGTTTATGTCCCCCGACCTTTTAAATACGGTAGGTAGAACGTCCTCGAGAAAAGCATTACTGCGTACAATGCACATTGTACACATTGCACATGGAAAATTTAATACTCGTTCGTTTCCGATTAAAATTTTCCAATTCACTAACCAACCTAAATTCCAATTTTATTATTATTATTATCTTTTTTTTTTTTTATTAAAATTCCAACAGTGAGTATTTTAATGGAAATTGTATACGTAGGTAGGTATTGAAATTCTTCTTTACAGTTTATCTGTTTCGGAAAATTAAATATATAGAAATAAGAAAAAGTCCCGTCGTTTGTTTTATAACAAATTAGCTCGATAAAATAAAATAAAAACGATTTTATGTTTGATTGTTTAAAAAGTTACACAAAGTCAAAAGAGTAAATACAAAGTTCATGTAATGTAACTTATTATAAACGATTATATTAATACGTTGAACATATTGAATTTTATAATGAAATATAGACTGGCAGTCAACTTGATTCGTAAAATAACATAATAAAATTAATTAACGATAAAAAGAAAAAGAATAGCAATGACAAACTAAAAATAAAATAACAGAACACGCGCCGTTTATTGACGGAAATTCGGAGTTTTATTTCCTTTCATAGACCTCGAAAAGTGCCAAAAATAAAAAAAACCTAAAACTAACGTTAACACTCACGCAAGCAGTGAGATACATTAAAAACTTTGTTTTTATTTCCAAATTCAAGTTAAAAAAAAAAAAAATTTCTTAATAATTATGTAAAACAAAAAGCACTCGGGGACGTCTAACAAAACTTTCGAAACATTCTTGCATAACTTAAATATTGAAACTATTTTATAGTACAATGTTCCGACGTAGTACAAAAAAAAAGACCCGATATGGGGGGGGGGATGAAAGCGGCTACTCGTGTAGGTGAGAAGTTAGGAAGACAGGATACATAAGGTTATTTCATTTATATCTGTGAGCAACGATAAACCATTGCTTGACAAAATACGATTCCGAGCGCAGTTCGGTAATACCCATTTTGAAATCCCGTTATTTTTTTTGCGATTTTCGTTTAAATTTGATTTTAAAACATTTATTAAAAAAAAAAAGTCTTCCGATTTGAAAATTTTACCACGTCTAGCTAAGTCCAACATAAGTCTTATTATCAACTATCAAGTCTCTAAGTGTATTTATAATCGAATTACAGCAAAAAATCCCAAAGATTAAAATTCCTTAAAAGCTCAAAACTGGCTCAAACGATTTAGTGATGATACCATAAGAAAGTAAATAAAAGGCAACAAAAAAGGTATTTTGTAATTTTTCGATAAAATCATTTTTTTTTTTTTTTTTTGGTAGAAAACGTCGTCCGTGTTTTTAGAAAATAAAGAAATTGTGAAATTGTACGTTTTCCAACGTTTTTTCCCACTTAAGTGCTATTATTTTAAAAATGGCGTCGAAAATCAAAAAAAAAAAAAAATGACGTTTATAAAGTACCATCTAAGCAACTTGAGCTTTCAGAAAAGTGTCTACATATATATATATAATATAAATATTTTACTAGGAAAAAACGTGTTCAAAGACTAAAACAAAGAACAAATAAACAGCATTGTTAAACCAATAGTTCTCTACGCTTGGAATCTGAAAGGAATTGTCTAAAAATTACTATACGAACCCGATTAGTTATAACTTAAACTAAATAAATGTTTACTGTGACGGCGAATAAAAGCTCGTAATGTTTTAGATTTGACCATTTAGTATTTTATTGAGTTGACTAACTAGAAACGGGGTGAACAAAAACATACTATTCTTAAAGTCAACAAATACGTACGTGGCTATGTGGCTACGTAGTGTTTGGTCGGATATTCGGTCGGTGCCTTGTTTAAAAAGGGTGGGAAACGTTAACAATTATATTCCCTCTCCATTTGAAGAATTGAGAATACAATATAACTATGGAGTATTTATTTATTGTTTTTGCTTATCTAGTGCCATTATTGAGCTCTCCACGCCTTCCCTGCCGTTAGTCAATTGCTCTCTATCTCTTATTTTCGGGAGCTTAAGGTCTTCCCTAACTCAGCCAATCTATCCTCTCGGTCGTTTTTCGTTCGGTTTCCATATTGTGATCGCATGTACTGTTTTGTCTTCCGCTTTCCATACGAAACTGGTTTAGCCTACCCATCTACTTTTGAGAATTTTCACTATGCCCGGCCCATCAAATATAATTCTCAGCTCTGTATTTTTTTGTTGCCTTTGCGTATTCTTCTCCTCGTTTCTTTTAGGTCCATAGATTTTACGTAGGATTTTCTTTTTCGAATTCTATATTAGTCTCTTTTCGTCCGATTTGATTGAGGCCCAAGCCCCAAACGCATACAGAACAATTAGTCTAATAAGAACTTTTTAAGTTTGGATTTCATATTTTTGGGTAGTAACTTTGACTTTAATAATGGTACAAACTCAAAACAGCACTTATTTCCTACTATTATTCTCTTGTTAATCACTTTGTGGCTATTTCCTTGTTGGTTAACATCTATTTCTAGGTATTCAAAGTTTGATCCTCTTTTGAAGGTTAAATCTCCAACTACAAGTGAATCTTGTTCTCTTCGAGATATTGTTAATTATTTCGCTGTTTGATCATTAACTTGAAATCTAATATCGTTCCTTTTAATTATAGCATTTCGGCCGCCCGAAATGACACATTCATTGTTTTCTTCTATAATTTTTATGTCGTTCGCATATGCAGCTAATGTTATTTGACGTCCTTCCACTATGCTTAGACTCGTGGCATCGTCAAGGTACTCTACCACTATTGATTCTAGAGGTATTTTAAATAATATAGGAAATAAAGCGTCTCCCTATCTTAAACCTGTTTTCACTGAGAAATCTTTTGATAATATGGATTATTTATTTAGTTGGTTTTATTGTGAAATTATGTAATTCGGCCAAATTACACAAAAAAGGCTGGATCTATTGCATTCAAAGTGGTCTTTTGAATTCTCATTGTCGAGTCAAGTATTACGGAAGAAGGTTTATTTATGAATCGTGATTATTACGAGTATTTACTAGGGGGATTATTTACAGCAACTCCATTTTGAAATTTCTGGGAGTATCACCGAGCAATCCTATGGAGTAATCTACATTGAATATTATTATTGTGAAAACACGATAAATTTTAGCTGCGTAAACATCACACAAATTAAATGGTGGAAAATAATAAAACGGAATCGTATACAAAATAACAAAACGATTACAACAGCAGCAGGGAACTCTCCAGTGACGACGACGGATGTTATTCGAGAGAGGCGTTGTAAAAATATATTTATAATTGGCAGGAAAACTAATAATGTCGAACGTAAATATTGGAATTATCTGCACAGTCAATCGCTCGAGGTCAGGGAGTTTGTTCTGGAAACCAAATGAAATGAGATAAAATACATTTTTTTTTTAAAAAAAAAATTACAAGTGGAATGTGAGCGATAACTGAGGTAAATTTGATGAGAAATTAAGGTATTTAGAAAAAGTGAGAGAAATCGATGAAATTCAATGAGTTCAAATTATATGAATAAAATATTTGACATTTTACGTAAAAAAGAAATTCCTAAAATATCAAACTTGGTAATGTTTCTGAGATTAGTCTAATACGAATCAACGTAGCTAGCGGACGCGTATTATGGAGTTACTAGTTCACGGCTTATCGTCGAAAAATAGATATGTATAATAATTTTCCCATATTGATATTGGATTATTGAGATGGAATATATTTCATGAATAGATTAGCTGAGAAGAACGACGAGTTTTATGAAACTAATAATAATTTTCATCGAAATCGTCATGATATTAATTTGTTTAGATGTATGAGTCATAATGAGACGAAACTCGTGAGATGACGTTAATTTACCAGAACAAGCCTCCCGGGTACTATTTTAATTATTATTATTATACACCGTCTACTTATAGGTCCTACAATCAGTGTTGTGTTTTTTAAAGATCTACATAATATTCTCTAGATAGCTATGATTTTACTTTTTATCGCATCTACACCAATTATACAATTTATGTATTCATTAAAAATATCAGGTAAAATACATCAATACGGTTTAATAAATAAATTACTAAGTTACTCCATGCGCACTCAATTTTCGAATATCAAATTTATTTCGCATTTATCACTTTTGAACGCTTGTTTTATTTTTTTAGCTGATATCTAGATAATTATTCTGATGATTTATCTTTGTCTGGTGATTTTATTTAAAATTTATCTTTGTACGTGCGACACTGCCTTACACAACGGAATAGGTACCTATGTCAAAGTTTATATTATCACACCGATAGGTCGCAGGGTTGTATATATATAGACACAGTGCACAGTACAGCGGATGACGCTCGACCCCGGGGCCCCCGTTATCGAAACTTATTTGATCCCTTTTGGTTAAATTGATTTGTTTGCGTTAACCTCTCGGGCGTGCGGCGGTAACAAACGATTCCGGAGTGCGGTTTACCATGTTGCCCGGTTTTATTGCGCGAAGGACCGCCCGGCCGAATGCGACGCAACAACTTTTCGCGGGAATCCCGCAGAGCAAACGTCGCGCCGGTCAAATTTCATTGTCAAAGGCCTCCGTCCTCCCTCCTCCCACCGCCGTTCGACGACAATAACAATTTTAGCGACGGCGTCCCGGAAACATATTAACATTCCGGGATCCGTTTCGGTACCAAGTCGATCGTGGTCGGTCGCGATGCAAATTTACCATACCGCGTTTTATCGTGTGCACGGGCGAGCTTCATATCGTGTGGCCGTTTTCGATTTCAAATTGCTTCAGTTCGGGACCTTCGGCCACATCCATTCGCGAGCCCATGTCGAAACTAATCGGAATAAACCGTTGTGGAACATCGTCGAATAGGTTACAAGGGGAAAAAGTAAGAAACGGAAACACGCTACAGAAATCGTTCCGTGACCCGTCGGTATTGAACCTGACAACGGTGGTTTGCGAGTTCCGCGTGAACCTGCACGGAGACGCCCTTAACGTTTCTCAAATGTGTCGGTATTCTCGGCGCAAAAGCAATACAATATGACATTTCGGCACGCGTTCGATTGAAATGGACCAGTCACAAACGGGGAACGCTTCTTAGGTGCTGGAACAGATACCGGAATGCGCATTCGCGTCCAGGAGTTGGCCGTGGTCGAAATTTTCGTTTCTTAACGTACTATTTCGCACACCCTCCCCTCGACACCCGACTACTATGCGGCGGTTACTATTATCCGCCGCCGCTGCTGTTGCTAGTGTCGTTGCTGTTTCAATTGCTGTTTTTGTTGTTCCACAGTTACGGAATGCACGCCACGTTAAAACTATGCGCCAACAGTGTACCGCAAGAATTGGCCAACGGGATTTTCAAATAGTCGTCTTTTGCCAGCGCCCAAATACACGCCGAGCTCGGTCTCCGGTCTCAGGAATCCGCACATAGCCATCTAATAATAATATAACGTTCCCCTTCTCGGCATATTTCCTTTGTTTCCGTTCCAGAGTAGAAGGAATATTATATGCGCATACTAGCAGCAATGCGAAAAATCGAAAACGTTAACATTCCGTAATAATTCAGACTACCCGCAAAATTCGACCCCCCCCAACCCCGTGAAATTTAACTTTTCCCGATAAGTTTTCACTGGAGAAATCGGACCAAGAATAACGTTTTACCATTCCAAGAAATATTTCACGGGGGGATTTACCTGATTGATTTCACTTAGTTATAAGCCCTCTCAGAACCATCCCATTTCACGCTCAATCTGGCATCCTTCTCTTTCCGTTGATTTTTTTCTCCAATTTGAGCCTCCGCCTAATAGTTCACACATTAATTTTAATTAATTCTTCTAATTTTGTTTTGAGTCTTCCGAATTATTCCTTTCCACGTGGATTTAGTTCTATCACTGCTTTTAAAGTTTCAACTTTTTTATTGCAGCGGATATATCTGTACTCTGAAATCAAAACTCTAGCTCTGTATTTTTTTTCTCCTACATTAGCCACTGATAACATCTTCAACTAGCCGATGGTTTTCCTCAACGTGAAAACGTACAGGCAACTGTACAGTATTAAACATTTTCTCTCATCTAATTTTCTCAGCGGCCTTGTTTCCGCACCGTACAGGATTATCGGACGAATTTCACAAGTGATTTTTAAAACTCCCTAATATTTTACCGAGAGGGTAACCACCTCAATGACAATAATCACCCGTCCAATATCGGATCACGCGTATTGTCGTTGTAACAATAATATTAACGGTGATGAAAATCTGATAGAAATTATTCGCATGGTGACGTTTTCCCCGCGTCGAATCGCACCGGAAACGCCAGATTTCCATATTATTATTACAACCACACGGGGATGGGCGTAGAATAAATCGCATAACGATATACGAGACTAAACGCATTTCCGCATCGCGTTGTTTGAACAAAAAAATATTCGGAATTCTCGACACCGTAGTTATAAACGAAAAACCGTGTGTGGGGCGACCGACAAGGGCGGAACCACCGTCTATTTACAGTCAAGGCAACGATTTACAGACCCTATGTGAGTTCGCTTCAAGCCAAAACGTAACCTAATTAGTTGTAAGAGAGAGAGTTACAAAACATAGCCTTTTTGATAAAATGCTCATAATAAATTATTATCGCATACGTGTAAACCTAAAACCTAGGTCCTAGTCGATGAAAAATCTCGACGGATTTTATATTTACATGTATCGCGCTTGGGCCGAATCGAAACAGGATCTGGAAATATACGTTAGGGCATATTCACCGGCGCAATCGGGCGGTTAGTCTGCAGCTTAGCTCCGTCCAAATCACGACTAGCTCTGACTATAATTATGTTATAATTATAACTCCAACTATGTTCTTCAAGAACTCTCCTTAACTTTTGATCTCGGTCGGTGCACCTATTGAATTTATGCACCCGCCTTATTTTTACTGTAGTCCTTCGCTTATAAAATAAATTCGACATTGGCCGCGGATATAACCGGTATTTGCGAACTGTATAATTTGATGTTTGTCATATTAGATTTTTGTTATATGTTTCAATTTTGTCTTGACCTCAAACATTGATAATAGTTTATTATTTCAACTGCATACAAAATCATAGTAAGTGAAGTACCTCGTTACTTTTTCGTTTTAGTAACGTGGTAACACGCTCTTAATGTGTCTATCCGGATTCACCCTCGGTTACCGAACAATTATTCGTTTAAAGAAATATTACTTGCCAAATAAATAAGTAATATAATTAAAACAATATCCATTTTATTATAGTCCCCACCGAAATGAGTAGTAAACTTTTAAAGAAAATTACGTGATTATTTTTAGTTTTGTATGACTTATATATATAAAAACGAAGTGAAGGGTTAAAGCTCCTCGCAGACCTCCCCCGAGTATTGAAGTAATAATAATCTTACGGATTTAAATATTCACCCCACCTCGTAATCAGTGTGCAGACTGCAGTCGTGGCTTGCACATACGTTTTTAACTCGCGTGCGGTGTTTTCGATTATTATTTTCCACATAAATTATTTAAATTACGGTTTAATTTAAATTATTTTAGACGTATAAATCGCGTTTAATACGAGAAATAAATCGATCGCAATAAAAAAAAAAAACTTTCATTAATATTTAAATAGTCTTATTGGTTAGAAAAAAAAAACCATTTTAATCTATATCTTAAGAATTTACCCCCGAATAATTTACAATATAATCGATTAAACACCTACTGAATGCGTCTGAATGGTTTTCCCATTTAGATTTATTGTAATTTTATATATATAATATAATATAGAAGACGACCGTCGTTTCCTTTTTCATTTTATCTAATACCTACTTTACGTCGTCGTCGTCATCACATTTGACCCTTCTTCCGGCATCGGGTTCACACTGCAATACGCGCGCGCATAACCTCAATTTAGATAAAGCCAAATGAACATTTTAAAAACAGGGTAGATTATTTATCTCGCTCGGTCGTTTGACACTAGAAAAAAAAAAAATGAAAATAAAAAAGCCGAACAGGCGGGGTGTATTCGTGTTTGAGGTGATAAAAGAAAGCAACAAAAAAAAAAAAAAACGAAAAAAGGCATCGCGACAAGAGAGGCGTACATTTCGTCGAAGCAATAATTGAAAAAAAAAAAATCGTTTCTCTCTTCAGCGTGTAGAGCACACAATAAATAATTTCCCTCCCCTATCGTGTCCCGGTGTGAACAAGTGATTACGGCTATAGGTATAGCGTGCCTGTTGGACGTTTCAGACAACAATCGATACTTAACATAGAACACAAGAAGACAATAAACCTATAGATATACGTTCGTACTTAATTTACACGGTGCACTATACGAAATTCGGCGGGAAGCTAAAATTTCAAATATTTCAATTATTTTTTTTTTTTAGATTCTAAGTGAAATGGGGATCTATTGGTTTCACTGTATGATGTGTATTTATTTATTCTATCTGTACACAACTTTTTTCCTAGAAATATTGCCCCAATCAAAACACGACAAGAGACATTTTTTGTTGCATTTCGGCTTTCGTCTGTAATTTAAAATGATCGTTTTTTTTTTTTTTTTTGAAATCACGTTATTATTCGAGATAAAACTTGTTATCTAAGTTGAAAAAAAGATTTGAAGATTGAAATTTGTCATTGGCAACTGTTTTTATTTGTTATTTTAACCTTTTAATCTTTTTTAAACAATGTTTGTTTTCATGAAAACGCACATTGTTGAAATATCAATGTTATATTGATTGACCTTTGCTCGGAATCGTTTTACGTTAGAAATGATTAATTATTGCGTACAAATATAAATTGAATTCTACTTTACATCATTCTTCTTCTTCCATTACTTAATATAGGCCATTTAGGCCCTTCGCCACAACCACCGTTCTTTTCCATGCTTTTTAGACATTAACCAGTTATTAACTGATAAGTAGATTTTTAACCTTCCCAAATTCTCACTTACAACAATGACCCACCCGTGGAACGAAGTATGTCTGTTTATTTTTTAGATTTTGATTGTATTATAATATAGCGAAAAAACTGTTATTTTTTTTTGAAAAATATAGCGATCTCTTCGGTTACCAAGTAAAAATGTTTGGATTTCTTCGTATCGTAACTAAAAAAAATTATAATAAATGTCGATGAAATTTTTGTTTTATTTATATCCATTTCTGAGTTACCTCGGTTACAAGGACGAACACACTACCGAATATTATAACAATTAAGGTTCAGGAGTTATATAAGCTAAGAAAAACAAAATACGCACAGTAAAAAATCTAAAGTATGTAAACAAATATATTAAAAGTACAATAAATTATTCAAAATGTTTTTATAAAGACCGTCTAATGTTGTTAAAATTACGCACAGAGAATAAAATGTGAAATATGCAAAATTAATTAATTGTATTTAAAATGAGGTAGAAAACTAGTTGGCATCTTGACGTTTTATTGAACTGACAAAATAGATAAATATATTTACGATAACGTCGATAATTTTTCGACGATAAGATAGCATTTCAGCATATGAGCAAATTAAGCATATATACTTATGCCCGAAAACAATATAAATGAAAAAAAAAAAGAGCTGATACTGGGGATGGTAGGGGCCACAATTGTAGGTGAGAAGTTGGAGGAAGGTAGGATACATAAGGTTATTTCATTTTATTTGCAAGCAACGATAAACTGTTGTTTGAAGAAAGACGATTTCGAGTGCAGTTCGATAATACATAATTTGAAGTCCCAATATTTTTTTTGCGATTTTCATTTAAATTTGATTTAAAAACATTTCTTAAAAAAAAAAAATTCATCCGATGATTTTGGAAATTTTACCACGTTTAGGTAAGTTTAATATGAGTATTATTACCAATTTTTAAGTCTTTACGTGCATTTATAACCGAATTACAGAAAAAAACAATTCCCTAAAAACTCAAATGTGGCTTAAAAGTTTTAGCAATGATAGAAAAGTAAATTAAAAAGGCAACAAAAAAGATATTTTTTGATTTTTTGATTAAATCATTGTTTCTAGTAGAAAACGTCGTCCGTGTTTTTATAAAATAATAAAATCGTGAAATTGTAAGTTTTCCTACGTTTTTTCCCACTTAAGTGCTTTATTTAAAAAATGGTGTCAAAAATCAAAAAATAACTTCTCTAATGTACTATCTAGGCAATTTGAGCTTTTAGAAAAGTGACTATACTTAAAAATCGGAGCAAGTTTACTAGGAAAAAGCGTTTCCAAAGACCAAAAAAAAGGACCATGAAGAAAAAGAAATAAACAGCATTGAAAAACCTATTGCTCTTCCTATGCTTGGAATCTAAAATATAACGAAATCGGACATCTCAGAGTTAACCATTTAAATTAAAAAATTGTTTAGACTATTCAGTCATAAACATTTCGTTGAACATCACAATCAGGACAGTCAATTAATATTTTGTTATCGTTTTCAACCGAAAGCATCGCGCTGACTGATTATCGGATTCTTAATTATTAGTATCGTCCATCTCTTATTATAAACAAATTATACCTTGCAAACGTCCCTTCTATACATCAACGACAGTTACTTACCCATGGCGTGAAGTATGTCCGGTCGGCATTTCGCTTTGGTTTTTTGTTTTAATTTACACACAAATGTCGCGTCGGGCGAAAAATATTGACAACACGTGTGTTACTGTCATCATCATAGACGTCACTAGCGGCGGTACACTTTTACACCTACCTACACTCGGGTACGTCACAATAATTTATGTATCTACCTATAGTAATTTTAATTATAAACTTTCGTAGGTACGTATACGTATATACACTACAACAAAACATCCGTCCCAAAGGTTTCCATCAAAAAGTCATCAAACTTTGTAAAATCACTATCCCGGGGTGTGTTAAATTTTCATTCCTCGAATAATGAGTATAATATGGCGGCGGCGACGGCGGCGGTGGTGGTAGGCCTGCTGCAGCGATGGCGAACGGAATAAATCTACGGTGGGTATAATAATATGTAGGTAGATAGGTATTAATATTTTGACTACTGTTATTTTTTTTTACTTTACGCTTATATTATATTTTTACGGCACAGTCGTTCGTGATAAAAATATTCTAATATCACGATGAATATTTCATAATATTATAATATCATTATTATTACGCGATACAGCCCGAGTAAATCTCTAGAAAAAAAAAAAGTACCGCTAACGGTTTTTTTCGCTATAAATCAAACCGTACATAATAATACCCGGTGGTGCAACTAGGGGGTGGGAGGGGTGATAGCGAGTGGGGGATTACATCGAAATTTTAAATTTTTTCTTACGAATTCTACACATTAAGTCACGCAGAATTTGTACTGCGATCGCTGACATTTTCTATGTTATTTCGAATGCGGTGCACGACAATACTTCACCTTTTTAATGGTGACTGGTTGTTATTCCGAAAACCAAAATTTGTTCGTTTACAAACCGTGTTTATTTCGTTTCATTAGCGTTAGCGAAAATGTAAAACCGAACGAAACTATTATCTGCCAGCTTGTAAAAATCATTATGGAATAATAATATTTTAGGATAGGATGACTGTAGGATGAGACCTGACAGTAGCACCAACCGACAAGAATTTTAAGTTTAAACGATTATAATTTCAGGTATTATAATTAAAAATTTTTTTTTTTTGCAAGCAACATTTCTTCAGAGTTTGCTGCACCCAAAGCCGTATCTAGGGACTAGATTTCAAAGTGCATGAGTTTTAATAAAACGCCAAAGAAGATTAAATCGATTATTGGTCGATACGCAATACAATAAGTAAATCGTCGTTTATCGTCATCGCAACCAAAAAAACCTCGGCTTCTTTACTATATAAGTGTGTTAACGCAAGTTCAAGTTCGTACGTAATTCAGGAAATTTGACCGGAAACATTGATAAAAGGATGTCGGTTTCGATTAGGACGGTCGTGGTGGTGAAAAACGCAAAGGCTTAGCTAAATAATACATGACGAACGGAGAAGTCAGCGAATATTTGTTATGCGAATTAAACGAAAATAAAACGGGATAGAATTCGTTAAAAGCTTATCGAAAAAACATAAACATAATTTTCGACTAAACACTGTTGATCAACATACAATTATATTAGGCCTATTTTGAAAAATAACCAAATGGAACCTGGTTACTGTATTTTATGAACAAGTCGTTTTGTCGATTTTGTTTATCATACTTTAGTTTTAATGTTTGGTTATTGATAAAGATTGGCCAGTACTATTTACACAGCCCTCCTCCGCCTGGTTTTCGATAACCGCGCCTAATTACAACGCACGAGACTCACTAAAGTCAGCATGCGAAATACACGCCGAATATTTTCCGAAAAAAATTTCGAAAATTTCAATACGAGGGGGGGGGCGGCTAGGTAAACGTACGTCCGAGAACCGTGTACAGAGCGCCCGCCGGGACGCGATCCGCGCGTACGTTTTCATTTTACGGGATGCGACCCGCGCGCTCCCGGAAAAACGCGCGGCACTCGATCCCGCCGGTAACGTTTTCGGCTGGTGCGTCCCGCAACGCTTTCCCCGGGATCGCGATTAATTTCCAAAACAACGGGACCCGTCCCCGCGCCCCCCTCTCCTGTTCCTACGGGGACGGTACACATTTGCGTACGGCCGCGCGACAAACACGATGCCGCGAAACAATTTCGCGACTACGACGACCGAATAACGACGATGATAATAATAATAATACAATTGTACGGCGCGCGCGATAACAACAATAATAATCGGCTAATCGTATTATCGGGATCGGCGCGCGCCCGGTAAACTCCGCCGGAGACATCGAAATTATTTGAGTTAAAGGGCGATTGTGTGTGTGTGCGTGGGGGGGCGCTCGTATAATATTATTGCGTTAAAACCGTACGCCGCTCTACGGCGGCGTCCCGGAACGGTTAATATAACGTCGTAAAGTATGTTTCGGGGTTCGGTTTGTGGCTAAACGATTAATTAACCGCGGTAATCGCGTTGTTATAATATTTATACGACATAATATCGTGTGCGTTTTACAAAGGACGTCCCGTCGCGAAAAGCGCGCGTAAACGAATCGCGGTTAGACTCGCGGTTTTCGAACGGTTTCCGTGCTGTCATTGTCCGCCGATCCCTCTCCTCGACCATGCATTTCTCCAACCACCCACCCCCCCTCTCGGACGGTCGTCGACGGCGTTATAACAAAACATAACAAAACCGGCGCATCCGGGTCGGTCCCGCGTTCAAAAATCTTCTCTATTCGGGTCTAGGGTTAACGCAGGTACTACACCAGTCGGGTCCCGGATTTCCAAAGGTCGTACACTATAGTTGGGCCGTATTAATCCGACAACTAATAATATTTTATCAGTTTCGACGTTTTAAAAAATAAAAACACGATACTTGTGTTTACACTGATACTCGTAAAAAATAACGAAACGATAAAATAAGCCGGACTCAGAGATATTAAAACCTATTAAATTTGTTTTATTTTTTCATTTCTACAATTTAATAATCTACATTTTGTATTATGTATAATGTATAATATTCGATCTAGTATCAAACGGATAAACTCGTTTGAAACTCCGACGACACTATTTCCCGAACGTCTTTAGTTGCTTCGCGTAGTGTGTCCGTCCACATAAAACATATATAATACCATCCGTTATGGAATAAATTCATGAAATTATTTTAAGCGAAAAAGAATAAGAAATATGATATAAAGCCTGCCCCGCGAAAATATACCCTTTGAATATCTCCGGAGATAATAAATATAATCAATTTCTTTTTTTTTTCCTTACACGGACGAGGACAAAAAAATATGTATATTTCAACTAAATTTATTTTTTTAGTAAACAAATTTTAAAAAATAACTTTATTTTATTATTTACAGGAAGTTTTAAGATATTCATGCTGTAGAGTTTTTTTTTTTGAAAATTTGAATGTATCACACATTTATATCCGATGAATAGCTTTATGTAACAGCCATTCTAAATTCTACTAATCTGTGTGAAAACCAACGTTATCTAGGAAACAACCTAACCGTGTTGGGTTAATAGTTCTCTTCCTTGTGAGTAATATAAAAAAAAAAAAACAGAATTCGATTATCTTTATTATGTCCAGAAATTTTCAAGGGTTATATCTTAGCGGGACAGTCTGTATAATAATTTCAAACACTCATTTTACAAGAAATTCAAACATGACGACCAGAGGCCGCCTTTTGCAGAATGTTTTCAGAAATATTAATTCATCTGGCAAAATAAAACATTTTTTATCATATCCGCAGTGTTCTTTTAAACTATAAATCACTGACAGTCCTGAAACGAGAAGGAAAATCTATGCCGCTTGTAAACGTTCGGACTCAACCGTAGCACGTAACCTGCCGAAAGCCGGAACCCAACTACTATAGTGTCCGAAATTTATTTGGATACTACCGATCAAAACCATTTGGATTCGGAACCCGATTCGGATACGACCGAATAAAACGAACGAGAACGTGGTATAATTTTATTACGGGACCAACGCGAGGTCCGGGTGCCTATAGCTAATGACCGACGGACAGACAGACAGAGGCGCGCCCATCGAATATTACCACCGCCGACCGATAGTATCGCAGTAACCGTACTGCGCGTGATCTAACCAAACCTAACCGATTTCGTGGCTGCATGTTAGTTTGCGGTCTTGCGGATAAACTTTTCTGGCCATTTTTAAAACATAACAAATTCGGACACGGGTCAGGATATAAATATACCGGTTGCGGACATCAAGTTAATAAAAACCGTACGGTTGCGGACGCAACGTCAAAAAAGATGATTCACGAATCACAGACACAAATATTTCCGTTCGCCACTTTTTTTGGGGGGTTTAGGACAATTATTGCGAAATAAAAAAAATGTTGGTAATTATTAAAATTTTTTTTTTTTGGTACACACCTACCGTTGAACTTTATTACGCATTACGAGGTGAAAACGGAATTTAAAACCGTCGCGTAACTCGGTCAAATTGTCCGCTGTACAATTTATTAATATTTATCGATAATGAAGACGAGCGATATTTGAACCGGCCCGGCCGCACGAGTCAGGTCAGGTTCGGTATAAAATACGTTTGACCGCCGTCATAAATCCCTCAGGAACAACGTCAATGCGGGCGATTAGTCATTAACTGCTTAGTAACTGGATAAGTGAACGATAATGTCGACCGTCGATTCGCCAATCGCCGAACGATCGCACACCGGCACCCGTATCCGCAATCGTGTCATCAAAAATAACGAAACGGAAACGTGCACCGAATTTGTTCGCGTTCCGTCCGCGGCTCACGTGGTTCCCGTTGCTCCGTCCGCGATCCGGGGAACTCCGGACTGCGCGCGTGTGCGTGCGCCGTCGGCACGCGCGCACGCACACGCGACGCGACCGACACGCCGGGGCCGTCAGTAAATCGGATATACAAACGCACGATCATACAATACCGCGGGAGTCAACAAGCGGGAATGACGACAACAATAACAACAATAACAACAATAATATTGATAACAATGACGATAATAATAATAATCGTAAACAGTCTGCGGGAGCGCACGGGTCAATATTTCACGGAGCCGCGAGCGGGCAAACAATAAATCGAGAACGGCGGCGCGGCCGGGCCCTTTTCGCGGAGACGCGCTCTCTGCGCGTATTTTTTTTTTTTTTTTTCATACAAATAAATTCATATTTTTCAGATATCTCTCCGCCTCCCACCCCACCCCGTCCCCCGACCGCCGACAAACGGAACGAAAAGAAGACGGAAAACAGTACGGTAAACAGACCGGACCGACTGCGTGCGGACGAGATGTCAGAGAGAGGTAATCGGACAATGACTCGGCGAGAATCCCGAGCGTAACGATAAACCGATATTTTTCTATTCCGGCTTAAAGGACGGTTTACCGAAATTTCCTCAGATTTCGTGAAATTCAAACTCGTTTTCGCATTTTAATGACCGCTTCAATTAAATTATTTTTTCGGTTTGCGAGGCGCAGTCTGCAGACCGTACAAATTCCTATTGAGGGATTTCAGCGTTGGACAATTATTTTCGATTCTTTAGGTTCTTCACTAGAGACAGTGAAAATATTTATTTTTTATTGTGAATAAGAAACAAAGTAAATTAAGTATAATATCGAAAAGACAATCGCATTGTTTTACGATTTTCAATTTCCATTAAACTAATCAACATGTATATTTTCACCATGTCCTAGAAGAATCTGAAAAACCGCGTTCTATTTTTAAAATTCCGATCCGTAAAACACAATTCCCGAAGTTTTGTCGGACCGTGTTGTTTAAATATACTGAAATATACATCTTCGTCTATCGCCAATTCTCTTAGATTTAAATTAATCAAAATCATTTTATACATTTTTCGCTGTTTTCACCGGTTTTGTCAAAATTTAGATTTTCAACGCTTATCAAATGTTTTCTATGAAACTAATTGTATAAAAATGTACGGGGTTTTTTACTATTATTTTCACTACGCATTACGTTAGGGGCCATAATATCTACATTGTGTTTTCAACTTTCTGTATTATATACAATTATTATAAACGACCTGTATAATACGATAATACGTTATTAAAAAAAAAAAAATAAATAAATAAACGAAACGCGTGTGACACGTTATAGTCTTAAAATGCACTGACTTGGAAATATTTTGTTTGCAGCGGAGTAAATAAAAAAAACAAAAAAAAAAAATGAACTTTACAGAAATTGTTGATATACTGCCACTGGGACAGAATATCGTATGGATATTATTTATCTCGGTGAAAAGAATTCCGTGTAAATAATAAACGACGCGCCGACGATGGCCGGCTACACGCCGAAGTGATTTGTTTTGTTTTGTTTTTTTTTTTGCCGTGGGATAAATACACTTACCGGAGAAAAATATCATGATGTATGGACACGTATCGGGTCCGTTATTTTTACTTTGCAGAATTTTCTTTACGGGATATCCTTTTCATGGGAAGCGTTTTTTTTTTTTTTTTTTTTTTTTTTAATCTATATAATAACGGAACTGAAAAATCATTAAAATCAGTTTAATATGAACGAACGTTATTATGCAGTGTTCTGTGTCTATCTAGACAAATAATTTAAATAGGTAGGTCAACATATGTTTATATTTTATTGTATCTGTATACATTAACGAGAAATAAGCCGGTAGGTACCTGAAGTAAAATGTCTAGATGAATTAATCTAGATATAAATCTTTTTAAACTTTCTTACACATTATTTTTATTGGAAATAATAAAGGTGAAATATTTAATTCATATTAATTATGGTTTAATTAAAATTTATTATTACTAAGTTCAATTAATCACACGGTAATCCTTATCCAATCTAGACGTGTACAAAATCTGATACATTCTTGCTTCTTTTGGATACTGCGAATGTGCCGATTGTATACTCGTGTTTTTATTAAGATAATTGAATTGTTATGAATCTTTTATCTTTTTCTAGATGGTTATTTTAACAATTATCTAGATAAGCAAAAGGAAACCTTTATTCGTTACCAATCATATAATTGTTAAAAATAGGGCTAAAAAATAATTAAAATGTTCCAGATTTGTTATAGGTAAGCGTAGAATATTGTATACTTTAGATATCCGAACTCCTGTGTGGTTGATGTATAACCAACTAATTTATTTACGTTTTATTTATTGTTTCTAATAAATATACAAATTACGATTTAAAAAGTGTCGCATCTCCTTAATTTATACGACTCAATTATTTATCTCGGAAAAATTATTTCTCGTTTTTCTAGTCCGTATAAGAAAAAATACACTTATAAAGCATAACATTGTAGTTTACAGGAAACATAAAACAAACCGAGCGTTATGTATTCCTAAAAATGTTTTTCTATTTAAATATCCATATAAATTTATGAGCGAATTCTATCGATTTACCGTATATACAATTAATTGCAGTTTTAAATTATATCCAACACGATTACTAAGAAAACAATATAAATAGATTTTTTTCCTTTAGAGATAATAATGAAATAAGATCCATATTATTTTATATAGTTTTTGAACAGTTATGCATCTTGTTCAGATTGTAAGTAAATATTTCGGTAAAAAATTTAAAAAATGAAAATATCTAAAAAGTCGGACGAGAAAAAGAAAAGTTCATTATATTTTAAGATAAAAATGTATATTCTTGAACAGAAAAAAAAAAAATAACAATCGGGCACAAAATTTCTTTAGAACAATAAAAGGACAAGTTTTCGTGTCGTTTTTTGTTTTTTAACATTGAACTATACCATCCCGTTCTTAATTAGTAAACGTTGCGACATCTGCACTTGGATTCCCATTCGAAATTTGCGGTTCAATAAATTGGAAAAATTAAAAGTTTAAGTTTCGTTTTTTTCGCATAACCTCTCTGCACTGTCACCCCCGGTCTTTTGGGAAATCTTTTGTGGGTAAATTTGCTTTTGAGGAGTTTTTTTTTTTTGTTTTGTTTGGTAGGGGCGACTATCAGTAAGTTGACACAATGTCACGGCAGGAGGGGACGACGAAAAACTATTAAGATAAAGTACTTTGCTGCCGTTGATTCGCATCTCTTCTTTCCATCCGGCCTCCCGCAGATATTTTTCGGGTCATGTGTCACGCGGGGTCCTTTAGTGTGTATAAAGTCGAGTGGCTAATTCAATTATCCATCACGCGGCGCGAATTGCCCAATTTTCCGATAAACCTGATATGTATTTTTACCGTCGAGATAATAATTGGAAAAAAAAAATGAAAACGGGCGATAGTGTATAAACCGTTTTTTAATGTCAAAATTTACACAAAAAAAAAAATGTTTACACTACTACGGTGTAGTGTTTTTCATTTCATCCCTCACACGCCGTCGCCGTGCGAGTCGCTTTTGAACGTCCAGCTGCTGCTGAAGGGATTTTCTCTCAGCCTTTTTTCTTTTTTTGGTCTCTCGTTTCCCGCGCGCCGCGTACCTTGCCCCGAAGGAAGGAGAACGTCTGGCAAAAAAAAAAAAAATACTCGCGCGCGGTGGCAAATAAAGTGAGTGCATAATGTATACATTTTTTTTCCATCGTATATATTTCATTATGTCCCGCGTACGCATAATAAAAATAAAGAGCCCTCGTTTTTATTTTTTTTTTTTTGTTTTGTATTTTGTATTTTTTTTTTGTAAATAACCCCCCCCCCCCGTCGCGAACCTTATCGTGTGTCCGTTTACACATGTCCTCTCCCGCGAAGTATTCCCCGGATTTAAAAACAATATAATGCACACACGTACACACGTACGCGTTTCTCGCGTATATATTATAATAATTTGAAATCCTCTTACGCGATCAGATTAACGGGACACTTGTACATATATTATTATTATTATTTCGCGGGGACGTCGCTATCGTCACCGCCGTTATTATATTATACGCGAATTCTCGGTTAAATTATTCACGGGGACCCGACCGACAATAATATTATAAAACGGCCGCGGAACCGATGACGATTTAGACGCCCGTGACCCGTGCGTGTGTGTATTATTAGTGCGGGGAAATCCATTACGCGCCGTTGCAGTGTGACCCTCCGAGGTGGCTCTAAATAATTTTAATCCCCGCGCAAAGCTTATTATTCGAAACGTTCGTCCGCTCCTCGACCGGCCGCACCGGCCCGTGTAGCGTCCCGTCATATTGTCGTCGGACAATCGCTATCTTCCCCGGTTCGCGGCGAGTTCTTTTTTAAATAATATCAACAATTTATGTGGCACGGGTCGGGCGAACCGTATATTACGATAACATCGATTTCTTCTTCTGCGATCTCGCGGAGAAACTCATTAGAGTCTTTTCCCCCTCCTTCCTATTACTATGCCGCTCCGTTTTCCCGATCTCCGACGATTTCTTACCGTTTTCGCGCTCCCGGAGTCTCGCGATCCTCTTGTACTGTCTCGAAGTCTTTTCGCTACTGCGGTTTCCGTTCCGTAACGGCTCCGGTGGTTTCTTCGTCGCTTCTTCTCATGTATCAGCTGCTGCGGTCTTCGTCTCTAACGTATTTAGTGAGTGGGACTAAGGTCAATTTCTCCTTTACCTTCTCACTCTGTCCATGTTCGGTGCCACGAACCGGTCCGCATATTATTCTCAATATTTTTTTTTTCGAACGTTCTACATCTTCTTACACAAGGACATATATGTAGATATTTGTCGTTTTCCATATTTTTGTCTATGATCTAACTATTATAGTATATTATCTTGATTTAGTTTTTCTTGAAAAGTAGATTGGATTTGAAGAATTTGAATAGTGTAAAATATGCTATTCTGCCTTTGCTATCTTCAAACTTATCCCACGTTACAATAGTGTTTTGAATTTGAATTGTTTATTTTATTTTTCCTGAACCGAATGAACACAATATTTCGAGTACATTGATTATTATTTCTTTTTCCTTTTTAAGAGTGGATTGGGAGGTTTTGTTATAACATATAACCCATACACCTCAGGCATTGAACCTTCTTAAATTAATCTTGCAAATTTTAGTATTTTCATTGCTAAATAGGTGCTACTGGTATCATTGTACTTTCCTCGGTACCGTCCGATGTCCACGTTAGTTTTCCTTTCATACTTTCCTGTTTTCGTATCGTATATATATATACATACAGTTAAACAAGAATCTTTCTTTTAAAAGTTATTAACACTGTAGTCTCTTTACTTATGGTCATTAGAATCATTAGGAAATAATGTTATTGTTTTTACTGGCAACTAAAAAGTTACACATAAAATCACACATTTGTTTTCGTTATAAGTGTTCGAAGATCAGATAATGATTAAGTATACATAACATATAGTTGTGTTCAGGAATCAGAACTACCATGTTCTTCTTCTTCGTTCGTTATACGACTCATCGAGAATTTTTGCAGACATTACAAACGTATAATTGAATTCTATTTTTTTTTTTATATATACGTTTTATCCTTCTTACATTCTTGTGTTTATTTTTGCGGCTCTTTATAATATTGTATCTTGTTCTCCGTTAATGTTTCACTTGTTATCTTGTTTACGAAAGTTATCAACCTTTGTTTAATTTTTTAAACTAAATTACATATCCTACCTTTAAACTTCCCACCTAAAACGCAACCCCTGTTTTAAAAATTTACTTTTTCACCTTTAACCGCTTTCAACGCAAGCGTTTGTTTTAATCGGAACGAGAGAAAATTAGAAAAACGCAACTTAATTACCAATACACCGAAACCGCACATTTCACACCATCGCGTGTTTCACCTAAATCAATTTCGCAACAAATACATCGGTACCTACCTGACTAATACTACCTGCACGCTTAGCTTATTATTTCTTTCAAAACAAATCTGGAAATCCGTTTCGAAACATAAGCACTTTTATTGTGTATAACACTCGTTTAATGAAACGCGCTTATTGTATTATCGTATCGCACGATAGTAATATTATTTAACGATAAATTAATGCACGTTGCGTTCACGCGGTTAATTTGAAGATGTTCGAAGATGTTCTCGTTCGGTTATACGGTATGTGTACGTACGGTCGTTCTCGAAATGGTTGTTGTATAGTTTTTACGCAATTTAGCCGGTTCGCTGTCTTTAATTTCGTTTTGCAAACTTGTCTATATTCGCAGCAGATAACTGCAGTAAGTCTTACGAGTTTAACAAACTTGGACGATTTTAATAGTAATTTATACACCGAGTGCTCGTGTAATATAATATATTATATACGGCTATTAGACGATAAAAAGTTTGAACACGAATATTATATACTATGTCGGAATTAATCACCGTGTATCTAAACGACATTAGTTTCAAGGGAAATAAGCTCGCGAACCGCATTGTTGTTGCGTACGTATTATAATAATATTTACACGAGAAAAGTATTTGGAGAAAGGAGTTGAAAATTACATTTCGAAATTAATTCTATATATGAGTTTAAATCGTTATGTTTGATTGGTAGATATCGGTTGATAGAGCCTTTTCAAGTAGTAATACGCCAATCGTTTTATTTGATATTCGATTTAATTTACGTAGGATTTGCCATTATAGAAGTTATAATATCGATCATCGATACTTCAGACGGAGAAAAAATATATATCGGTTTATCGAATTCATTGTATTATATCGTTTTACAATGATGAGTTTGTGGTTTTTTTTTCGTTTAAATATTCTAAGTGCGACATTTAACACAATGAAATCTTGCATGTACCGTCGGTTATTCTTTAAGAAGACAATCGTCTGTATCGAACGGGGTCATATCTATAAACCGATATTTCAATATTATGTTGGTCATTCCCGCTAGGTAAGCACTTGAAAACATCTGTTTTTTCCCTCTCTGTAAGTCGATGTTTTTACATGTAATCATATTGTAATCGAGGCGCGATGCTTACTTTTTGATATAATACTATTACAATAAATTATAATAATATCGTGGAACCACGCGGCATCCTGTTTGCGAGAATGTTTTTTTTCTTTTTTTTTGAAACGGTAGAAAAAATCGTTTATACTCAAACGAAATTATGTAAAACAATTCTAATTTCGTAAAAACTCGATTAAAAAAGAAACGTGTTCACTATTAAGATAATAAAACGAGAAATGCGTGTTATTTGTACTGACATTTTACAGTTTATATTTCAATCGTCTGTTCTAAGTCGTTATGTCGTCGTAACGTTGAAAAATATCAAGTTTTCAATAAGAAATCGATTTGAAAATCCAAAACAGTCGTTGAAAATAATACAATTTACGAGAGTAACGATTAATTCGTATTGGTAATTGTCGGACAGGACGGACAAATCCAAGTGAATTCGATTGTCGTCTATATGCGATTGGCGTTTTAAAGAAAATAATTTTAAGCCGTCAAATTAGGAGGAGACAACGTGATAATAATTTCATCGATCGATGATGTCGTGTTATGTGAAATCGAGTAAATATCAGTAAGACAGATGGCGATAATTTCATAAAGCAGCCATTCAATTTGATATAAAAACGAATAGCCGTAATATGTGTGATTAAATTTTACAAAATTAGATGACGGTATTAAACATAAAGAGACGATCAGTGCGTTGTGTCAGTTATAATATTATCCGTGTCTCATGAAAAAAAAAAAAATAATAATAAATGACTGGATTACGGGATACAGATAAAAGTATTATTGTATTATTTGTGTGTCTGATTCGAATTTAAATTATACCTTATATTATGCTGAAGTGTCTTTTTCCGCGATTTCGGTTTTTTTTTTTTTAACAACCTATTGTTGATTATTATCTTCTTGATTTTATAATCGATTCGAAATGGACCGACAGGGATATCAGGAACATAAATTTGACGACCGGAAAATTAACGCATTTTAGATTTTGAGCGAAAGGATGAACGTATTGGCTTTACTATGCGTTCTTTTATTTTTAACGAACATGTTTCCGAGTATAAAATCTACTTTTTTAAAAAAAAAAATTGAAAACCCGGACATTTTTAATATCATTTATTATCGATTTCCGAATTAATTCGACTAATAATGATTAATACGATTAATACAATGACTAATAATACTCTGTTTAGAATCGTTTTTCGTCAGCAATGGTTTATCATCACGTTCAAAAATCTACACTAGTTGGATCCCAAGTTAATGCGGGCAGTAAACTAGTCGTCTAGTGCCATAATATTAATATTAACTAATGCAATAGTATAGAAGTTCAGAAAAATATAATACGTTATATTCGTCTAAAAATCTACCGGTAGAAAGAAGTTTTAAAAAGTACCCGAATTACATTGAATTACAAAATGAGAAGTTCCAAAAAAACGACCGAAAATTGTATTTTACGAAAAGAAAAATGTTTAAATGATTAAACGGCAGAAAAAAAAAATCATTGGCGAAATGAATCCAAAGTCCTAAGTCTGTAAAAATAAGAAGGAAAATATTTGCATTGCTTTTAAATGTTAAGACCCAACTAGTATAATATTATCTACCGAAAGCCGGGACCCAATCAGGATAGCACTTGGAAATTGATTGGGATCCGACTAGTGTACTACCTATGGAAATCACTAGGGTCCGGGACCAAGGTCGGATCCACGGTTGGCAATAGGAAGTGTTTCCACCCATATACCCGATCTCTGCCCTCCCTAAATCGTTTATCGGAATACGGAAATTTTCGAATTAATCGTTATATCGGAAATAAGATACGAGAGTGAAGAGCCGTAATATTGTTTTTTCCTAACGTCCATTTTACAACTAGGTTCGCCCTCCTTGAAAAACTGATCTGACTACAGGCCTGCCCGGGACCCGACTCGGATGCAGCCTTTTTTAACGAGGCCAACTACGGTTTCGAACCGTACCGCGACGGCGCCGCGTAGGCAACACGCAGTATTGTTATTTCATTATCATACACGTCGGCGGGTCTTGTCGGAATTCCGTTTTCGGTCCCCATCACTTGTGCCCGAGGAATATTCCAAACGGAAAAGCGCCGCGGCCTTCCGATCGGCTTTCGTTGCCGGAAGGGTGGGTGAGGGGGGGGGGGGGGGGGGGAGAGAAACGTACGGACAACGCCGGGCGAAAACGACAACGGCATTAAAGAAGAACGGCGCGTTTCCGTCGTAAAAATGTACACGGCGGAGAAAAAAACCATACGATAGGCACGCCGGCCGCGGGGTCCTTCCGTTTCGGATATTATTATACACCTCTCGAAACGGGCGCGTATAACATGGCCGGAGGTTCACGGCGTTCGCGTTTCGGGCATTAGACGTGTACTTGGGGGGAAACCGCGTGTATCGCGCGAGTTATACGATATCCCGGTGCACCCAGTGGCGGCGCACTTTGAATTTAATGGTCGCGGGCGCAAAACGGCTTTATTATTCCGCGAGGCGGCGAGAGGGGCGAGAGACCGCGCTTGAATTTCACCGCCGCCAGAAAATCGCCCAGCCGCTGACCGACCCCGAGTTCGGATTACTCCGGCAACTCCGAGAACGACTACGGCCGTCGGTACACACGTGTGTACGGGGTGATCGCGAGTTTTTTTTTTTCAAAATTTACACGCATTTTTCGCATTTCGCGACCTCGTCGGTTTTCGCGGTGACGATAAGCTCGTCGACGTCGACGACACGTGTACCGGCGACCGACGTCTAATACGCAAATCGTTATTAAAAAAAAAAAAAAAAAATTTAAAAAAGACGGACACCTACTTCGCACGATGGATAGGAGTACATATTTTAGGTGAGTGATTGAGTAGCGAGGATTTATAAAGGGGAATTTAATTTATACGACGATAAACTACTGCTTATGAAAAACGATTTGGAGCGAAGTTTCTCGTATAAGTTTCCCGATTATTATGAAAACAATATTTTTTTAAATATCAAACAAAAAACGACCTCTTCAAAGTACCGATCGAATAAAATTTCCTCTCGGGATATGTGCTACACTTGAAACATCCGAGCAATATTTCTGGTGAAAAGTTGTTCGCGCAATAAAACAAAATCAAACGTCTTTGGAAAACCGATACGTTCCTCGGTACGCTCCGAATCTGAACAAAATGAAAACCCGAAATAATTGTTCGCTGTTTGCACGAACGGATTTCCACGAGTTTACCAGTGTCTGTACGGGCTATCGGATTCGCGAAAATATCGTACGCCGCTTCGCGGTCAAGCGGTTCTCTATACAGAGGTACACTCTAATGGCGTGACGATACGCGCCGCGGATTCGCCGGTTGATTCGGCGTACGGTTAATCGCAGGTTCGCGAAAAAACAATCGCCCTGTATATGCGTACGAGTGTACGCGAAATCATAATAATACACACACGTCGGCGTGTGTGCGCGAGCGTTCGGCCGTGCGAAATTCGCCCGCGCCGCGCATCATAGCGGTCGCGGCGGGCGGTGTGGTAGACGGTTTTTATTGTTTCGTTATTAACCCCGGGGAGCGGAGACACCGCGAGGGGAGGGGGGAGGGGGGCGAACAGCGACAGCCGGCGACGGAGGCCAATAACTCGGCGGTGAGGTGACGGGAACGGGGAGAACGATCTCCGCCAGATGGACCAAGACGCGTTCCTCTCCCACGACGCCCCCGCCAACCCCGCGTACGTAATACCCGAGCCGCTGTACCGCGACCGCGACCGCCACCGTGCCGCTAATACCGCGTACCCGGTCGTATACGGCGTACCGGCGAGGTGTGCGCGCCGATAAAATAATAATAACAGCAACACAACGTATACGGGCTTACTTATGTGGATGCCGAGCGTCAGTTGGCCGATAAAACAACAAACGGCGGCGGCCAGGACGATGGAGAAATCATGAGCCCCGGCGCGGCGCATGGTGCCGGCGATCGGATGTCCCTCTCTTCCGCGCCGTTCCGCGGTCCCTGCTGCTGCTGCTGCTGCTGCTGCCGCTGCTGCCGCTACCGCTGCGGCGACGTCTGCTACGCTGCAAAAACATACCGAAAACACCGCAATCGTATAATATCCGTATAATAAAACAATATCAAATATGTATGTACGGGCGAACATTATTGAACGATCGGCGGCGGAACGCGTCTGCACGAAAACCGTCTATTTCGGCATTTCTTTTTTTTTTTTTTTTTCCGCCCGAAAACGCCGACGCGGACCATGAATATTTATCGTACCGCGACGACGTAACATACGAGCGTATTCGCGTGCACGCGAACCGTACGAGACTCACACAATAACGCGCTCGTACGACCGGCCAGTGCTGTACGGAGACGAATCGTAAAATACGTCCGAGACGACAGACGCGATCGACGGAATAATAATCGTCCCGCAGACAAAGACACCGCTCGCTGTCGGCTTTTCAAACGCCGACCTACGTTCCGCATGTAGGCGAAATCGTAGTTTGAATACGATTCGGCGATGGATTTTCGAGTCGCCGACAACCCGTTGTCGAGATAATGCCCTTATATATGTTTGGGTACGGGAGGGTTGTGCGGTGGCGTGGCGAACCGCCTCTGAACGGACAAACGTTACGAACTAAAACGCATCCGGGTTGGGTCACGTGAAATTATCAAAGTATTTAACTAATCAGTGTTGAAAAAATCTCTTATACAGTTAAATATGAATTGTATACATAAATACATACTAAAAGTATTTTCCTTGAACAATACACACACATACATATATATATATATATATAGCACCTTTCAGCGTCTAAACGAATTCCACTTCTATAAGGTATAAATCATTGTTTCACACAGCTGAATATCAATAATACGAGTGGTTATTTTTTATTTATCGAATAGATTCAAAGTTCAAAATTAACATTTGTTCGTATACTATCACTGTGAACTGCCTGTTTCGCTGACTCGTGGAAACGAATAAGTAAGTGGGAAATATTAAATAGCTGCGTAGTAATATATTTTTCGGGTGTTTTTTTAAGTTTTCACGAAAACGTCGCACATCAACCGATGGCGAATTATTGCGATATCGATTTCGCGGTGACGGGAAGTCAGTTTGAAACGAAGAGTAAACCACAGGAACGGTCCGCGGCAGCGGATTCGAAGGCGCTGTACGCAAGACGGTCGGATCGTCAATAATTTCTCCAGGGACTGTTTGTCGGAGAAAATTGGAAACGACCAAAGATTAACGTGAGATACGATATTGTTCAAATTGTAAAAACGGACGATGATAGAGTATATATAGATAGAATTCGGTTACATTTCTCGCGAACCTCCGTGCAGAACGTTACAAACAATATAATATATTGTTTTTATTGCTGTTATAGATATCGAACGTACTTCAGGGCGTTTTTATAACCGAAGAAAGTTTGGCCAAAAAGTTCGAATTTATAATTTACGGTTTTTTAAATGAAAAACTGCGTTACACGGCCGATTTATGCAATCTGCAAACGATTCTAATATTATTTCATTATAAAAATTCGTCGGATTCTTGTGTTTATTCGTAAAAACTATTTTCGATTTCCATAATAAATACACGTATACTGTGTTATATTATTATTATAATAAATTGCATTCGAATAAAAAGTCTGTAAATCTTCGAGTATAGATAACACCAGACAATTCTTTACATAAAATATATTAGGTAGAGATTATTACGTAGATTTAAATATTCGAATTTCCCCTCGGTAGTGCGTACAAGAATAATATTGTTTGAAAAAATATACAATAGTATGAACGGGTATTATTATGATGGATCTGTGAAGTTTTCGATCCGCCGTTCGCAAAATACCATTTACATTATTTAACATCGTAAAGAGGTTTAAAATATTAAAAACGAGCCAGAGATTACATTGTTGCGAAATTCTGACGAGCGTATAATGGATTTGCTATGAATATTTTTTGCTATTCCGAAAACGGCGACAGACTACACTTATATTTACATTTTTCGTGTTCTAAAAGGTTCGAGTATTATCGTTTTGTAACGCGATCCGCGATTCGATTTCGATACAAATAGGAGAAAACCGTTCCATCATTATGACTTCCTGACCTCCCACGTACACGCGTGTACAGTCAAAAGTGTATATATAAGAACATTGGTCCCCCGTAGTTACATCGCTTCGACATCCTTATTTGCGGACATGTCCTTTTAAAGGATCAGACAGCATTAAGGTTTGATCGGTAGACAGATGGCTTAAGAAAACCCGGCGGTGATGTGGTATTATGCGAGAGAGAAAGAGAGAGAGAGAGAGAAAGCGCGAGCGAAAAAAGCTTTTGTTAAACCACAGTAAACGTATTTTGACACATCTTTTGTGTTGCAACCTTTTAAGATGGAAAGGAAAAAAAAAACCTTCGGCGTCTAAGAAAATATAACTGCGTTACTTACAGGATAAAGTAGGTAATTAAATTTGTGTTTATAAACAACAGCTTTTAATTTTCGGCCAATAATTGTCGTCAGTGTAATAATTGTAAACACAATTCATATGAATTATAAATTCGAGGGTTATTATAACTATTTTTTTTTTTTTTATTTTATATTTATATTCGTTCTTTTAGGAAAACCGTCGAAACGGGGCTAAATTCGATAACAGAAGTTCTGCGCGGAACGGAAAGGCGCAGCGCTGTGTTACGGGTATTATACTCGAGAGGAAAATGGAGACGTGCATAAATTATAAGCAAAAGTGGCGTTCGTGTGACTCGAAGAGGGTGGGTAATAATATTGTGACTGCGCCGTAAAGCGTTAATTTAAAATTCATCATTCCCCCGAAACTGTATGCAATTTTAATATATTCGCACCCACGCTATACCCGATGACCCGTAGTACACGGTAATAATTTTTATGGAAACCAATTTTGGAGGTACAGATCTTATATATTGTACTGAAAATTATAGCTATGGGGGATCCGAGACGTTATTACAGTACGTATGCTGTTGAGAACTGAGACTTGTCTATAGATAATTCATTGAGATATTACTTTGTATTATGAGCAAAGCGAGGATTGTATTAGTTTTAGTAAAACGTGAATTTATTTTTGCGTCTGTGAACAACTATTCTACTACAGATCTTGCTCCAATCAAATGTTTTCTTGAAACTCTCTTGCAGCTCATTTTGTATCCCTACTGCGCTTTAATTTTTTTTTTATTCTTTTTATTTTTCTTAACATACCGAGAAAATCAATTGCTTTTCGTACAATCGCTGTCGATTCCTTGGTCACTTTGACAAAACGACTAATAATACTTTGCCCAGAATGCAATTTCGTCAGAAATGGTTTATCGTCGCGAATAGATTTAAACTAAACAAATCTACACGTTAGTATTTCTTCGAACTTTCCTACAGAAACCGTGGCATACCCAGCTGCCGTATCGGTCATTTTTTTTAAAAAGAATTGACTTTATCTTGTTTGGACAAAAATCGCGGTAACGAACCGAGGAATGTGTACGGTAATATTATATTTTAAATATTTATCTAGCCAAAACGCATTTACAAAATACTAATGAATGTATTAAAGAATAATAGTAGAGGGTGTGTAGAAAATATTAAACGACTGTAATTCCGTTTAAAAGTTGTATAGCTATTACATAGCGTTACACATGATACGTCCTTTGCATTTACATAATTGTTTTAACCCCTTCACATTTTTATCTTCCGATATAAATTGCATTGTCGATATACCATACCGTTATGGTCTATAATAATAACCGTGCGGGGAAAAAAAACGAATTTTTTTTTTCGTCTACATAAATGCCACTCGTCTATTATCCGTACCGACAGTATCCGGACGATATCGGAGTAGTGTGTAGATAAATAATTTCACTTATCTACGTCATAACGCGTACAGGCGAATCGATTTCTAGTCGTTTATCGTAACACTCGATTTAGTTTCATGATGTTTTTAGATTCCGAGCGGAGCGAGGAACGTATTAGTTTTGCTGTCATTTTATGATTTTCCCAGAAATTTTCATAATAAATGGAAAAACTCGGGGGAAAAACGTAGGGAAAGGGCGAAATTCACGAAGTGTATTGTTTTCGAATCGTTAATATTACGTTTATCGTTAACAAAAAAATGTAAAAGACCTTAGGGACGAGAAGAAAGAATCGCGGAACACCGGAAAAAGTATACAAAATATATAAATATACACACACGAATGAAACCGACGGATATTTTTATAGATCCGATTTCGTTGCTGGTTCCCTTCAAAAATATCGGTATGTTTTTTATTTATTTTTTTATTTTTTTCTCATGCTCATGCGACAAAACGGGAAAACGCGTGTCTTTTCGCAGAACGTATTCCGCGTGTAATATGTTAGTGTTATCACAATGCTCTCGGTAATATTTTATTGACTCGACCAAAACGGCGGCCGGCCGCGGCCGCGGCGTATTGCGATGGCGCTGCCCGCGCCTTCGCAACGGCCCGGTAGACCCGGTACTCGTACGTACGCGCGGAAAAAAACCAAATTATATACGTACCTATACGTAATAATATTATACATATATAAATGTATGAATGTGGAAAAGAAATATATTTATTTCCACGAGGACCTTTTCGGGCGTTCCGCGCGTTTATACCCTTACCGTGCCCCACCACCCACCCACCCACCCACCCCCGCACCCCGGTTGTCGTTTCGTCGGGTCCGTGTCTCTCTGTACCCCGGACCGTCCGCGGACGCAACGTACACGCGCATACAATTGTGCGGGCACCCGGAAAGTCATCTATCAAATGCATTCTTGCAAAAGCAGAGAGAGACGTCTTCGTTCCCGCTAGTGTTTTCAACGAGATTCGAAAAAAAAAAAAAAAAATAAATAAATAAAATAAGGAAAAAAACATAAACCGCACTTGTGACTGCGCGCGGCGCGGCGTCCGCCGACGAACAAAAACCTCGGTGCCGTCGACACTGGCAACGCGACG